AAATCGTCGTAAACCAATCGTCGTAAAACAGAAATCGTCGTAAAATCGTCGTAAAATTACCAACCCACGAAAATCGTCGTAATATCGTCGGAAACTATTCGTCGTAAACGCGACGTAAATTTTCCAACGAAAGTACAATGAAATAAGTCCATCATAAGAACGACTTAAAATCGATGTAAAATTACATCGATTCAACAACGATTAGGAGACGAATAATTTCAATTAAGGGAAACTAATTTTTTAATTGTCGATGTTAATTCGTCGTAAAGTTTCGACGTAAATCCGACGTAAACATATTCGACGTAAATCCGTCGTTAAATATTCGACGTTAGATCGACGTAAATTTACGACGAATTTACGTTGATATATAAATTAATTATTTAATTCGATTTTAATTTAATTAATGAATTTTTAAAATAATCAAAAAATTAAAAATAGAAAAAAACAATTTAAATTGAAATTTAAATTCGAAAATAATTTATAAAAAAAAGAAAAAATTTAATACAAATTGTTTTTTACAAAAAATCTAATCTACAATGTGATTTCGTAATCGTCGAGATTGAGATCGACGTCACGAGGAGGCTCTCCGTCTTGGCCGCCCGTCGCTGCTGGACCGTCGTTTCCCGTCTGCACTACCGGAGCCGAAGACTGACCCTGCGTCTGCTGGTCCGATGGTCCAGTACCGGAAGTACCACCGGTCTCAAAGACCCCTCGTGCTCGCTGTTGCCTCGCTCGGATTGCAGTGGCCAACTGCGGAACCGCTTCCGCAATGATGTCGAAGAGACCGTGCATCTCGGTGAGCTCCTGCTTCTGGGCTACTTGCTCATGCCTGAGAGTGGTGATCTCAGCATTGGCCGTAGCAAGCTCCTGGCGAAGATGACTCGGATCCTCCTGCGTGCGAAATCCGGAAGCCGAGGCGGCAGGACAGTCTCTAATAGAGCCTATCCCTAAGGTTCGGCCCTTCTTCTTCGGAGCAACCTACAAATGGAAAATAAAAACGTTAATTATTTATTAAGTAATAAATATAATAAATTTTAAAAAAATTGAAATAGATCATACCTCCTCGAAAATCTGGCCTTGCTCAGCGACGGTCAACGGTACTTAGATAGTACCGTCAGGTGTGGCATGGGTCTCCCGTTCGGTGATCCGCTGCATAGCGGCATTGTAGATCTCCTCTGACCGAGCGTCGACAAAGCTCCCGTCCCTCTTCCGGTGAGTGGTCTCGAAGAGCTTCGTCATTGGAGGTAGTTCTCCTCGGCCTACCAATTAATAAACATTAGTCAAAAATATTTAATAAATTATAACAATAATTAAAAATGAAATAATAATGAAATAATTTATATTTAATTACTTACCATCATGAGACGTCTTCCCGCAAAAGATATTTGGCCAGAAGTGTGCGGGGTCACTAACTTCTGACCGTTAGGACCGACCCGGTTTCTGACGGCCGAACACTTAGCCGCAGTGGTTTGGGCATGCGGGTCCAGCCAATACGCCTTCAACCCGTTCCAACAGAAAGTGGACATGGAGCTCGGCTTTGCGTCGTCTCCATCGGTCTCCCACTTCCGCTTCCAATCGGAAACGGTGTTGACTAGGCGTTTCTGCGCCTTCAGCCGGAAAGCTTCGCGGACCGTCTCGTTGATCCCGATGTCCCAGTTCCACCGTTGCTGCAAAAGAAAACAAAAAATTATATAAACAATATAAAAGTAAGATTAATTAAATTTAAAATAATTTAAAATGATATAAATAAGCTTTAAAAAACATTACCGCGAAGCACTTGTACCAGGTGTCGAACGTCTCTTGCGACACCTTGCTCCAGTTGTAGTGCGGCTCAACGAAATGACTCTTAATTGTGTCGGAAACGCTCCGACCGACACAATTATCCAAGTAAAACCTATGAAACAAAAAAAAAACATTACATTAATATTTAAGAAAATTAAAGCATTAATTTAAAACAATATAAAAAACAAAAAAATTTACTTACCAATAAGAGCCTGGTTCCGCTTTTCCGGGAACCAGACGTCGTAAAGCCCCCCGTCCCTGTAGGGCTAGTAAGTCTTCAACCGTAAATTGGGCATACGGATGAGGAGGGTGGGCCACCGGTTCGGGAGCCGGCGGTGGAGGTGGTGGTGGAGGTGGTGGTGGAGGCGGTGGTGGTGACTGCTCCGCTACGGTATTCGGAACCTGAGAGGCTCCGGAAGATGAAGGGACATCGGTCCCGGTGTTTCCCGAGGCAGACGCCTGGGAAGAGTGTCCGTCCGCCATAAAGTTGATGTAGTGCGTCCTCCATCGAGTCATCGTCTGCAAAACCGGAAAATTTTTATTTTTGAAATTACAAATTAATTTTAAATTATGATCCTAAATCTAACAAACACCCTAAATTCTTAATCTAACAAATTCTGATCCTAAATCTAACAAATTCTGAGCCTAAACTAATTTCCGACCTAAACCGTTTGTATTTCTAAACTAATTAAAAATAAAAATTAGATTTTAAGTAAAAAAAAAAAATTACCTGATTTTTTGGGTTTGCAGGGAAGCAACGAAGTGAGGAGGAAGCAGGGAGAGGAAGAAGTTGAATGAGCGACGAAATGAGGAAGGGGTGCTTCCATATATATAGAATTTTTATTCGTCGTAAATCCGACGTAAACATTACGACGAATTTACGACGAAATCGTCGTAAATCCGTCGTAAAGCTGCAACCGTACAACAAAGCGAATAAGACACACACACGTGGCTGTATCTGGACTTTGCGACAAATTTACGACGATCGGAGTTATTCGTCGTAAAATCATCGTAAAATTACGACGAATTTACGACAAATCCTTATAAATCATAAAAATTATAACGGCTATGTATTTACATATCGTCGTAAAATCGTCGTAATATTACGACGATTTTACGATGGTATGTACAAAAATGATGAATTACAAAAATTGAAACACCCATAAGCACATACAAGCATGCCTATACATGCTAAATGTGGTCTGTATAAGTTTCTAGCATGTTTACATAACATAATGAAGAAATTTGGTTTGATCTAAGATAAATTCTTACATCTTCTCTAAATGTATATAACACCTTAAGATTACTTGATAAACACATATATGTCAAATATTGAAATTTTTTTTTTGTTTAGAAAGTTGTTTTACCTTATGAGATAGTAAGCCATATCATTATCTTCATCTAAATCCCCCCGAACCCCAGAAAAGATTGATTATAAGATTTAGGGGTTACATTTCGTCGTAAACTCGATGGTATTTTACGACGAATTTACGACGAATTGGTGTGATTCGTCGTAAATTCGTCGTAACATAAACCACATATCTACAAGTTCTTTAATCTTATACTACAAAACCTTATATAATACATTAGTTTACTCAGGAAAATGCACCCAAAAACCATTCTGTGAGTTGGGAAAGCTAAACCCTATAGGGTTTAGCGTTTACATTTTACGACGAATTTACGACGATTTATAAATAATCGTTGTAAATTCGTCGTAATAGTCAACATATGTCCAAGTCAACACTTAAGCAAATTTTGAAATTTGTGTCTTTATATGTTTTTTTGGGTTGATGGAATAATGAGAGAAAAAAGGGTATATATAGAATTTTTTGTTTGGTTACCAATATATTACCATTGCATATTTACATTAAATTTACGTCAAAATAAAATTTACATCACATTTACATTGATTTTACGTCAATTACAAGATAGAGGACAATTAGTCGTATTATCGATGTAAATATTACGACAATATTACGACGAAATAAAATTCGTTCTTCATTCGTCGTAATATCGTCGTAACATTACGACGATTTTACGAGGGTCATTTTTTACGTCGAATTTACGACGAAATTTTTGATCGTCGTAAACTTACGACGACTAAAAATCGTCGTAAATAATTCGACGGAAAAGCCCCTCATTCTTGTAGTGGTTATTACTAGTTAATTTGCCTACGGCTCCCGTGGACTATATATATATTTATCATGTGTAATTTTATAAATAAATAGTTTTAAAAATATTAATTTTTTTTATCTCTATTATAAGTTAGATGAATCCAAAATTTATAAATAAACTTTTGATTTTAACAAAAAGGTAAAAAATCTTTCTCAAGTATGTAGATAAAAAATCAAAAATCATAATCTAAATATCATAATTAACGACATTTTTCATTAGACATATAGATTTCATTTTTTTAAACATTTTTTTAGATTTTTACTAAATTTTGGTTTTATAAAATTATAGAAATCGAAAACCCTATAAACATAAAAAATCGTAAACATTATAATAATTAGCGATATTCTAGCATAAATTTTATTTTTTTTTGTTTTGAAACGACATTCTAAATTTTATTCCAATTTTTGTTTCTTTTAAATTTTAGTTAGATGTTTTTCTAAATTTCAGAAACATAAGAAATGGTAAATTTCTATTTTTTGTGTTTTTTTTTAAAAAACATTTTTGTCTAATTTTACTTATGAACATTTTGGTTTGATATAAATTTAAAAACGGTTTGATTGACTACAAAATTAAGCATTAAACCATAATAATTTAGACCGGTTTATTTTAATTTTTTTCTTACACATCATGAGATAAGAACCAATTAAAAAATGACATGTAATTGTAAAATGGGGCTAAACGGTTTTTTTGCAGCCGAAACTCATTTTATAACTGACACGTAAGCGAAAAACCTTTGAAACTTGCTGTGAGTGCGACACCTAAACAAATCACTAAATAAATAAGTATATAGATGTTTGATGTGACAGCTAACCATGTTGGTAGATATCTACCGATTGATTTAGCAACAGCAAAATGAGGTTCCATATGTTCAGAGCTTACTTGTGTTTCAAGGTTCTTAGAAACTGCTAGTTTCTTCTTTGCAATGGAGTAGGTTTAAGAAACTGAATTTGCTCACACGAGCTTACATGAGCCTCTCATATGTTTCTTGACAGCTTACATATGCTTTTTGTCGTTTAATTGCAGAGAGAAATGTTTAATCACGATGAGATCAGACCCGTAATAAGAACGGTTCCGGTTGAAATGTACAAGAGTTTTCTAAAACACAAACAACAGTTACAACACAATCATGATTTGCTCATAGTTTCAATCTGCTTGATTATTAATCAGGATTTAATTAAAAATCACGGAGTGCACAACACACAGTGGCTTTGTGATGACCTTGGAACACTCTCACGTCTTTTCCCGTTTTCATGGACCACAATCTAGCTGTCATGTCCGATGATGCTGTCCATAGTACGCAGAATCAAAACTAATGACTCTAAGTCTCGGACAAATTTTAAAGTGTATAGATAGATTAGTACCGGTTACAAGAAATTCTGCATCCGCTGAGAAGGCGCAGTCCCAGACCCATCTTTGATGTCCTATTTTATTAGATTTGATGATAGAGTATAAGTAAAGTCCAACGAATATTTATACACTGTACTTTCAAAAACATATGGAAACCATACCTGTTAAGACTTTCTCTAGCTTGAAATTATCGACGTTCCATATTTTGACAGTTTTGTCTGATGATGCGGTCGCTAGATATTTAATTAACAAATATATAAAAGAGCTTTGAAGGGCCGGAGAAAAAGAAGAAAACGGATTAAGAGAAAGAGTAAGAAACACATTAACTATACTTTTTTTCAGGAGCTAGAAGACATTTTAGGATGGGCTCATCATGAGCTTGTAGCTTATGAAGGGGCTCAAACTCGGTCATCATCTGAAAAATATTGAAAGTTTAAATGGCATAGACAGTTACATCATCATTTCAAAAATAATAATAATAAGAATAACTAATTCTGGGCACTGGTGGTACTATTGTTCATTATATCTCTCATCAAAAGAGGTTATACGATAATGTTTATCTAGCAGACTTTCCGCTAAAGTGAAAGGAACAAGGCGTAAACTCGCTCTTTCCCGGTTCGGTCACGGCTAGAAACAAAATACATGGGCTAAATGGCAAACCCTAAAGGGTGGAACATGGTAATCGTGGCCGTGGTAAACAAGGTGGCCACGGTTGTGTGTTTTAAGAGATGGTATGTAACTTATCTGAAGCAGAAGAGTCAGGTAATATCTTTATCAAGCTTTAGTATTCTAAATTTCTAATCCTTACATCTTATGTATAATCTCTAAAAAGAACTGTATGGCCTCGAGCCACGGTTTGTAATCGGTTTCAATTAATAAAAGATGTATAGATAAAAAAAAAAACCCACTTGTTCGACTAGCTAGTTGGCTTTGTGTTTCGTCCCGGATAAGTCATGTGTCTTTGTATTTAACGAGTTTGTTTGTATACCCTAGGTTTGGTAGGGTTCGGGCTCGGATTCCATATAAAGAAAATATTTTACGACAAGATCAAAAGAGAAAGATTTGCATATGAGTAGAGTACCTGATTTCCACGCAACATGCTCCATACGTAACATGTGCCACGGTCATTAGCAGCAACCAACATTGTTCCATCCGACATAACGCTTAAAGACCGTACAGGTATAGCACCTTCTGGTATCTATATATATATATATATATATATAGTTACGTACACACCCGAGTGATTGTCATTGCATTCTCATAAATGTAAGTATAAGATAAGGATATGTACCAGTTCAAGCCTCCACGAATCTGCTCTGAGATCCCATACACTTATAGCTCCGTTTTGGTCTCCAGTTATCAATTCATTCTGTTAAAAAAAAAAAAAAGAACAAGGACGACCAATTAGCAAATAGTGATATCAAGTGATGCAAGTGTAACAAATAAACGAAAGAAACACTAATAGATGAAGTGGCTATATAGTATATACCTGATTTGGGTGTAAAACAATTGAGTTAACTGCGCAATCATTTTCATAATCATTTATGCAACAATTCGCTTCATACTCCCTTACGAAATTGGGAGCCCTGCATTTCGGCTTTTAAGAGTCAACAAAGTGTTGCTAAAGATCATGCAAATCAACTTATTGAATGAATCTATTAAATAACATTGGTTACACATCAGCTAAAAGAATTATTGTATTTGTACCTCATGTCCCACGTCTTAACTGTGCCATCTTCTGATCCTGAATACATCACTCTGCCATCACGTTGAAATTCAAGTGCCATAACATTGCTGGTGTGTGAAGCAAAAGTCCTCACCTAATGCGTAGGCACGTAAATAAGAAGACTCCATATATATATACCAAGATCATTTTACAAGAAAACGGAGACCACAACAACATGCATTGAAAACAAATAAAAAGGATATATATATATTTACATGTAGATTACTGAAATTGAGATCAAAGAGTCGAATGTAAGGATTGCAAGCTGCTGCTAGGTAACGCTTATCTGGGCTTATCTCGAGCCTATTTACATGCCGAGGCTTTCCTCGGCCTTCCGCGAGCTCGTTTTTAGGCTAAGGGAACAAAAACAAGTTTCAGATAAAATATTGAAATGTTATAAATTTCATTACCGATCAAGAGAGAGAGAGAGAGAGAGAGAGAGAGAGAGAGAGAGAGAGAGAGAGAGAGAGAGAGAGAGAGAGAGAGAGAGAGAGAGAGAGAGAGAGAGAGAGAGACCAAAGCAGCATAGAGAATGGTCCGGTAACAGCGACCGGTTTGGGCTTCCCAGAATCGGATGGTACGATCGTAGCTAGCCGTTGCGAGAATCACGGAAGGATGACACATTCTTGAATTGATGGGAATTAGTTTGATAATTTGATCCGAGAAGATCTACAGAAGATTACAGATCCCAACAAGAATCTACGAGCTAGGGTTTTCGCTAGTGAAGAGGAAACAGGAAAACCAAAAGACTAAAGAGTTTTATCTGTGTTGTCCGAAGAATTGACCTAATCCCTTCTAATCAGATAAGATATTACAAAGCTTTGTTAATCACTCATGACTTATCTGCTGAATTTCAGGCAGAAACATCTTATCCTATATTAAGTGAAAAAGTATTTAAAAAATGACATTTACAGTGTTAAATATTATTACAAAATCTAAAAAAAAAAACTAAAAAAGCTTTGAGGGGGAGATAGCATATATATCAAAAAAAAATCTGTAAGTTTTAAAAATGAACTAGGAGAGAACTCCGCGCATATGCGCGGTTTTATTTTAATTTATATTTTAAATTATACATTTTCAAAACTTCTATTAAATTTTATTTTTATTATCAATTTTTTGCCTTGAAAATATTTATATTTTCTTTGATTTTTTTTATAACATATTATTTGTAACTATTCTACACCAGTTGTACGAAATAGTCCAAAATTTCTCCCATTATAATAAAGAATTAAAAACCTACTATTTAATTTCTGTATAAAAATGTAATAGTTCACATAAAAATATAAGTTGAATACCAAAGAGAAATATTTATTTGTTCTTCCATCTTCATATTCTTTTTATTGTTGTAAATCTTACTAATATAATATTTGTCAACTTTCTCAATATACAATTTTGAGTTTTTTTGTTATATATATTTGATTGATTCCTGGTTTTTTTTACAAAAAAACAATTTATGACATTTTTATATATCCACTCTTCTTTTTACTATTATTTTTTATAATTTTTTTTATCTCTTTAATCATTATTTTTATGTTTTATAAATTTATTAGTTAGAGTTTTATATAAGATTATTTGAAACTTTTTAATATATTCAGTTTCATAATTTTTTTCACTTGCATTAAAATTTAATTATTTTCTTAGTTTAAAAATGAAATTTAAATTTGAAAAAAGAAAATAGAATGGTGCATTTAAAAGGTTTTGTATTATATAATATTTATAAGTTGTAGTATATTTAAATTAAATTTTAATTCGTTTGTTATATAAATTTATTTATATACATATTATTTATTTATATTATTTAATGTGTTTCTTTAAATTTCATTAATTATTTTTTAATTAAGATTGTAAATGGACATGTGTCACTCACTCCAATTCTGATGTGGCATTCAGCTGGAGAAAGTTGATTGTCTTTTATATATAAAATGCCATAAAATCTGTAAGTTTTAAAAATCTGTAACACTTTCCTAAATAATATATTTTTTCATATTTTGCAAAGATATTAAGGAAAATTTTAGTGAGCATTTTAAGCACACAACCTTTCTTATCCAGCAATTCATCCGAAGAATTCTTACACATGCATATGCAAATTTTTACAAATGTGGTTATTTACCTCGATTCCTATTGGTGATTTTTCCTGGTTCTAATACAGCTTTTGATTTTTGATTTTCTTCATAAGCTATTATTCAGCTTTAAAAAAAATACAAATTTTCATTTTTTTTTGTCATGTGACAAGTGAACAAGAATAAACTCTGAAAAGATTCACGTAACGTTGCTAGCTCGTTTGTTGTGAATAAGAATTATGGCAATGTCTCTGGACTTAGCACCATATAAGTCAGTTGCGTAGGATTTGTTACAAAAAATGAACAAAAACACGGTTCTTCAGTTTTCAACTGGCCATGCATGGTCCATATCAGACCACGAAATTGCATGTGGAGAGGAGATATGCCTGGATACTATCCCGCGGCCGCATCCCTAAAAGATCCATTGTACATTTGTAGCATCATGTAATTCCAAAACTCAGCCTCTCCACCATTAATTAGTTTGTTCTTCAACTTCTCAAGAACCGTCCATAAAACATGTTGAAGTTGCTGTCTTCAAATATAGGGGGTTCTCAATCATTGGCTCACTTAAGGATTTGTCTTGCAAGTTATTACCCAAGATACAAGAGTGCAATAACCGCCAACGAAATAGATCTCGATCGGGATCATTGACCAACCATGATAGCAGCAGAGTATATATCGCTCAAGCTGAGAAGGGAATGAGATTAAGTCCTATGATTTAGCAGAAATTAAAAGAATTAATTAACAAGAAATTGTATCTCACTACTGTCTTCAAATATAGGGGGTTCTCATTCATTGGTTCACGTAAGGATTTTTTCTTGCAAGTATGAAGTATTACCAAGGATACTTGAGTGCAATAACGGGATCTCGGGACCAACCATGAGAGCAGCAGAGTATCGCTCTGGCTGAGAAGGAATGGGATCGAGACCAAACGATTCTCAGTGAGAGTGAACCAATAAAATTAAAGGTTGTGTAAGGAACATAATCATCATATTCTCTAAAGCAGACGTAAAATGAATTTTTGCGGAGGCGTGAAAGAGTCTCGTGAAACGCAGAGGAACGCACGAGAGAGATCAGAAGTTCAAAACGAGATCGTTTGGCAACAAGGGAGAATAATGACGGCGGTGGAAATGGCAGACATCGTCTTCAAATTTTAGGGTTATTCTATTTTAATTGGCTTTGGCATTATGGCATGGCAGAGAAAATTCATGCATGGAGCCCTAATCCGAATATTTATACATAATTTTTTTATAAGAAATTACCATTATTGTGCTACAATATAGTAGATGTACGCTCAAGTCTAATTTTGTTTTTTTTGGTTAACTGAAGTCTATTAGAACGAAAAACCAAGAAAACAAACCAAGTCACGTTTGGAAAAAGCGTCAAGAACCTTCTCGGATATTTTAGAAAATTACATTTTACAAGCCTTTAGCTGTAATGTATGTATAGACGAATTAAACTGACCAAAGCAGAGATTTTTTTTTAAAAAGGTTTATTTAGCTGCTCTCAAAACAGAGTGCTTAGAACAGAATGATATTATCGATGGAGAACTGACAACGTAATTTCCCTTTGTCACAGTGATCCATAATCGATGGCTTAGATCAACAAAAAACTTAACCAATTTTTGTGCGGTTCTGCATAAATAGTCAAACCATTGCCAAATGCAGAAGCTAGCATTATATTTTTAGAAACTCGTAACACAAGTTATCTCTGAACATCCTAAACCATCTATCGCATGTTTCTCTTTTTAGATACGTACATGCGCTGATATGGAATTAACTTCACGCCTACGTTTTGTTGTGTTAACTTTCTTTGTTAAACATCAAAACAATCATCATCATGAATAAACTTATCTTTCTAATTCCAACAAGGAACATGTTGGTGCATGGTAACCAAGCCATAGTAAAATGAAATGGTCCTTAATTAAATATAAGCTAAATGTTGCATCAAGTTTCAGAATTTTTCAAATTGTTTGATTTTTTAAATTCAAAACGCTGAAGCATTCTTTGTAAATGAGGTTTTTTTTGATGAATAAAATTTTACATTCATTCAAAAAAAAAAAACAAAAAATATAAGCTAAATGTGCAATAATGACCAAATATAAGCTAAACGCTTGCTTCCTCTTCACTAAGAAAGTGGAAAAAGCGTCAACAAGCTTCTCGGAAATTTTAAACAGTTACATTTTACAAGCTTAACAACCCTTTAGCTGTAATGTCTGTATCGACGAATTAAACTGACCAAAGCAGAGTTTTTTTTTTTTTTTAAAGGGTTTATTTAGCTGCTCTGAAAACAGAGAGATTAGAACAGAATGAATTTGTCGATGGAGAACTAACAACGTAATTTCCCTTTGTCACAGAGTGATCGATAAATCGTTGGCTTATGTTCAAACCACTGCCAAAGCCCAAAATGCAGAAGCTAGCATTATATTTTTCAAACGTGTAACACAAGTTAGCTCTGAACATACTATACCATCTATCGCATGTTTCTCTTTTTAGATACATGCGCTGATAAGGAATTAACTTCACGCCTACATTTCGTTGTGTTGATTATCCTGTGTTAAACATCAAACATGAATACAGCTTATCTTTCTAATTCCAACAAGGAATATGTTGGTGGTAACCGAGCCATAGTAAAATGAAATGGTCCTTACACTACAAGAAAACATTACATATTCATACCATATATTTTATCAGAAAATCGTAGGAAACCGGCTTTTCCTACCAAATATTTTTGTAGGTTCTATGCCGTCGGAAATTTTAAAAGGTAGAAAAATCGTAGGAAATTTTCTACGAAAATTTTGGTAGGAAAATTTTCGCGGTAGGATATTCGTAGGAAAGTACCTACCAAATTACTTCCATCTTCCTTCAGTTTCATTCTTTCTAATTTCAAATATTCCTACCATTTTCCTACCATTTGCCAGATTTTGTAAAAAAAAAAATTATTTTTTAAAATTAAAAATTAAATTAAATTTAAACTAAAAGATGAATTAATTATTAATTCAATTATTACTATATATAGAGATACTATATATAAAGATATTATATATTAAAAAAAACAAAGTAATTAAAAGGAAGATGAAGCTCTTATTTATAGAGCAGCTTCCTCATGTAAATTATCTCAGATCATCGATGTGGGACAAATCAAAAGTTGAAATTTTCCTATCAAATTCCTACGATATTCTTACACATAATTTTTTGTCAAAAATTGGTAGGAAATTTCCTACGAAATATTTACCAGCCATTGGCCCTACCACTTTCCTTTCAAATTTTGATCGCGTGATAGGTTATTGGTAGGAAATATCTTTTGAAATTTTAACAAAATATTTGGTAGGAAATTTCCTACCAATTTCCCATCACTTTTACTTTTCGTCAAAATTGCATAGAAAATTGGTCATAAAAATTTCCTACCAAATATTTTGTCAAAATTCTTGTAGGAATACAAGATGTTTTCTTGTAGTGTTAGATTAAATCTTTATGAACAGAACAACGGTAGATTGAATTGAATCACAAACAAAATATCCAATCGAGACAGAGGAATTAAAGAGAAAATACAGCAACCCTTATGGAAAGACACAGAAGAAAAAAAACAGACCATAATCCAATTCAAGTCTTTGCAAAAATCACTGAGTGAGGGAATCTACCAATATATATATATATATATATATATATATATATATATATATATATATATATATATATATATAGTGAATAAATCGAGGGTTCAAGAATCAAAGGCAGAACTTTCCCTTGTAAACAAATTGTATTGATGACTCAAAAAGTATTAAACATCACCAAAAGCAAACATCATTGATTAGCCTCAATAAATTTATGCTCTTTAATCTGAGAGAGATAGACAATGCTCATGAAATTTATAGCCACGAGGGACACTCCCCATAAGTTTAGACGCTTCTGCAGTCCCATGAATCCCTACTTCACTCCTATTCAAAGCAATCATTCTACACCAAATCTCCTTGGTTTCACTCCTAATATCTCTAGATTCTTCCCATAAAAACGCCATCTTTCCATAGTATTCCGCCATTGCAACAGATCGAACCTTCTTGAGATCATTCAAACCATAAACCACTCTCCATAGCATCAGCTTAGTGTCGTACCACATCAACCCAAATCTAGCGTAATAAACGTAGAGCACATTGTCTTTCACACACACTCCTGTATCCCACCATTTATCCTTAGGCAACTCAAAACTCTCACAAGAACCATCTCTAGTATCGTAGCAAACAGCGATGCCTTTAAGAACATCCAACACACAAACCTTCCTGTCTATTGAAACAGAGGCAGCCCAAAACCACGATCCTTGTTCCTCAGGGACCGGTGCTTGTTCCCAAGTTCGCATCTTTAAGTCAAAAGATTCCACTTGAATCACACCGTCTATGTATCCTCCGATCGCATATATCTTATTGCCGATGAATCCGACGGTATTGGAAGATCGATGCAGTTTCAAACTAGGTCCTTGTCGTAACTTTCCAGATCGGGAATCAAAGATGTACAACCTCGATGAGGGAATGAATGATCCGCAGATAAAGAAGATCTCTGGACCAGCTGCGATTATGGAAGGGTTGGGCTCGTAATCATAAGGAAACACGAGATCGACGGAGACGACGAGCTGATTCTCTGTTGGATGATTCTCAACCCTGCGGAGAGTAAACCAGTTACGGGTCTGTGCTCGATTTGTTTCGTCGATAAAGCAGATAAAGATAGAATCTTTGCCGAGTAGAGACCGAATCCTGTGAATCTCCGGCGAATTTACAAGATAACGAAAGTTCTTGGAGACGCAAGAGAGTGTTGGGTAATAGCGTTTCGGTACGTGGGCTAAGATTTTCCAGACGATTTCTATCGGCAGCGAGGAAAACCATGACGGCGAACGTAGCGGCGGTGGAATGATTTTTCGCGGTGGCTCGTTGGCGTCAGAGGCCGCGACTGAATCCGCCATTAGAATCGAATTAGGAGAATGAAATTAGGCTTTTTTTTAGTAAGTGAAGTTCCCTTTTATATGGATTTAGGCTTTAAATAGGTGAGTTCGTTAAAATTTCCCTCTTTGTCAATTATAAAAATAAAAAATTATAAAAGCAGTATATTGTCCCACATCGACAACAAATGTGAAAGAAGAATCTGAGATCTCATTATAAATACGGTATTTTGCTCGTTCTATCAATTCTTATGTGGGCCTCTATAACAAGCCCAGTTAGGAGCTGTCAATATAATTTATAAGAGCCAATAAGTAAAATTTACGGGTCAACCGGTTCTATCAATACGTCGGGCGATTAGTCGGGTCCGATTCGGCTTTAATGGCAGTTTGCTTTAAAGAACACATCATTTGAAATTGGAAGCTATAAAGAACACATCTTTTAGCCTACAGCTCCCAATGGATGCTCCTATTCCACATTCGTCACATACTCTGTTGGAACTCTGCACCAATCTCTTGCAAAAATCTCTTAACTCCAATGGTCGTTTTACAGCGCAATTGGTTCATTGTCGTGTTATCAAATCGGGTCTTATGTTAAGCGTTTACCTGATGAATAATCTAATGAACGTCTACTCAAAGACTGGTTACGCTTTTCATGCACGTAAGTTGTTCGACGAAATGCCTCTAAGAACGACTTTCTCATGGAACACGGTTCTCTCGGCCTATGCAAAACGAGGAGACATGAATTCCACATGTGAGTTCTTTGATCAGCTGCCTCAAAAGGATTCAGTTTCTTGGACCACGATGATTGTTGGGTTTAAGAACATTGGTCAGTATCAAAAGGCTATAAGAACTATGCGGGAAATGATGAGCGAAGGGATTGAGCCGACACAGTTCACGCTTACAAATGTGCTTGCCTCGGTTGCTGCAACTCGCTGTTTGGATACAGGTAAAAAGGTTCATTCTTTCATCGTTAAGCTTGGCCTTCGCAGTAACGTTTCCGTGTCAAACTCCCTTCTTAGTATGTACGCAAAATGTGGTGATCCGATGATGGCAAAAGTTGTTTTTGATACAATGGTGGTTAGAGACATCTCAAGCTCGAATGCTATGATTGCGTTACACATGCAGGTTGGTCGGATCGATCTTGCTATGGCACAATTCGAGCAAATGGCTGAGCGAGATATCATCACTTGGAATTCTATGGTTTCAGGCTATAATCAGTGCGGGTATGATCTCAGAGCTCTAGATATGTTTTCTAAGATGCTGATGGAGTCTCTGTTATCACCAGATAGATTCACTTGGGCGAGTGTGTTATCTGCTTGCGCTAATCTCGAGAAGCTTAGTGTTGGGAAACAGATTCATTCGCATATCATTACAACAGGATTTGATATCTCTGGAATTGTGTTAAACACCCTGATATCGATGTATTCCAGGTGTGGAGGGGTCGAGACTGCCCGGAGACTCATTCAACAGAGAGGAACCACTAATCTCAAGATTGAAGGTTTCACAGCTTTACTTGATGGGTATATTAAGCTTGGAGATATGAACCAAGCTAAAAATTTATTTGGTTCATTGAAAGATCGTGATGTAGTTGTATGGACCGCCATGATTGTTGGATACGAGCAACACGGTTTATATGGGGAAGCTATGGACCTTTTCAGATCAATGGTTGCAGAAGGGCAGAGACCAAACAGTTACACACTTGCAGCAATGTTAAGTGTAGCTTCAAACTTAGCATCATTAGGTCATGGCAAGCAAATCCATGGGAGTGCTGTAAAGTCAGGGGAAATTTATTCAGTTTCTGTCAGCAATGCATTGATAACAATGTATGCAAAGGCGGGTAATATTACATCGGCAAAGCGGGCATTTGATTTAATACGCTGCGAAAGGGATACAATATCTTGGACGTCCATGATTATGGCGTTGGGACAGCACGGTCACGCAGAAGAAGCACTTGAGCTGTTTGAGAGTATGCTGATGGAAAAACTAAGACCTGATCACATAACATATGTTGGTGTTTTCTCTGCTTGTACTCATGCGGGTTTGGTCAATCAAGGCCGTCAATACTTCGACAGGATGAAGAACGTGGATAAGATTGAACCTACTCTTAGCCACTACGCTTGTATGGTGGACCTGTTTGGACGTGCTGGTTTATTGCAAGAAGCACATGAGTTCACCGAAAATATGCCGATTGAGCCAGATGTAGTGACATGGGGTTCACTGCTCTCTGCTTGCAGGGTTCACAAGAACGTCGAGCTTGGAAAAATTGCAGCAGAGAAATTGCTTCTTATCGAGCCAGAGAACAGCGGAGCGTACTCAGCCTTGGCTAACCTATACTCAGCTTGTGGGAAATGGGGAGAAGCAGCTAAGGTCAGAAAATCCATGAAAGATGGGAGAGTGAAGAAGGAACAAGGTATTAGCTGGATTGAAGTGAAGCACAAAGTCCATGTCTTTGGAGTCGAGGATGGGACTCATTTACAGAAAGACGAAATCTACGTAACCATGAAGAAGATTTGGGACGAGATTAAGAAAATGGGTTATGTTCCAGACACTGCGTCTGTACTACACGACCTCGAAGAAGAGGTTAAGGAGCAGATTCTAAGGCACCACAGCGAGAAACTAGCAATCGCTTTTGGGTTAATTAGCACTCCGGATAAAACCACATTGAGGATCATGAAGAATCTCAGAGTGTGCAATGATTGCCATACAGCCATAAAGTTCATCTCCAAGCTTGTTGGAAGGGAGATAATAGTGAGGGACACTACAAGGTTTCACCATTTTAAAGATGGATTTTGTTCTTGCCGGGATTATTGGTGAGAAAATCAAGTCGTAATTGAAATGGAAGAACTAATAATTCTCAATTGGCCTAATTCTCATAGATTCATATATGGCTTCTTTTGGGGAAAACCATCATTATTGAGCATTGGAATATGAGGACATGGCATTTGAACTTTTAGTACGAGAGATCATGGTGTTTAAAGGAGACGGATATTATGAACAATGGAAATATTTTTGGAAATTCATAAAGAGAGAGGGTTTAGGGAGGGAGGGACACAATAAAGATTGTGTTTACAGGAGGAACAGAGTTGAAGCGGATGGTTCTTGTCATATGAAGCTGGAAAGATTTAAAAGCTAACTGTGTGAAAGGTGAATCTGTTGGAGTTGTACGAGAAAATAATGCAAGTTGTGTTCTTAAGTATGCTCGAAGGTGAATCTAGATGCCAAATGAAATTGTTTATGGTTTTACTATTTCAGCTTTTGTAAATTCCAAAGACGAACTAGAATGAATCAATGTTTGGTAACAAATTGTAACAAAACACCTTATAGTGGAAACGTGTACCCTCTGGTCTGAAGTTAGCGGTTCACTACTTGCACATTGCCTAACACTGGACTGGACAGATACACTCTCAACCATTGCCGCTTTCTCAATGGATCCTCTGCAATTCATCGTTAAACTTTCTAATCGACAGTTTAGTTTGCTTGGAGAGAGAGAGGAATGATTGGATCCACGGCAAGCCTCAACGTCAAATAAATCAGCTCGCACGTCACATAAACAAAACGATCCTCCGTTACTTGGATCAGCCACGCCTCCAACCGTTGTGACAGCTCTGCTTTGCATTCACTCACCATTAGCTGAGTTCTGAGAGCAATCCAAAAAGCTCTGTTTTTCTGAAATTGTCCTCTGTACTTTAACTTTATCAGGCGCTCTGTTTCTTTTGCTCTTTCTTCTTTTCCTTTTATTTTTTCTTATTCTTTTGTAAAATAGCACTTTTGTTTGAAGCAGTAAATTAACTTTCCAACCAAAAAAATAAAACAAGTAGACTATAATTTCTAGCCAATTTAAACAAGGTCATTACGTCTAAGAAGAATGAGAGCAAGTTTGATTTAACGAAACAAAGAAACTGATACAGTAACTTACATTAGCTTAACATCTAGTAACCTTTGATATTTACACAGTATGTGATAACTAACAGTAGGTAAGTTAAACTATTGAACCTGTTGATACTGATTATCACACAAAGAGTTTTTATTAATGTTATAGCTGAATTCAAGATGAGCTGTCTACGTACTCTTGAGAAGGGATCAATGGATCAATCCATTTGTAGTTCTGTTATCAAAATCGTGAATCTTTCCTTGAATGAACAAAGAGCTCTATAAATATAGAGGTTGAAACCGGTCGATTTTCCTTTTCTTTCTTGACTTGATAATACAAATTTCCTTATTTTTCAGAGTAGATAAGAATAATTTTCTTTTTTCTCAGAGAATTATATTTTAGAAATATTTTCTTTTTTCAAATAAGATTAGGAAATATTCCGCAAAGTCCGGATATATAACCGACATTGTAAATCAGTTAATGGATCGAATGTCCTTCAAATATGAACCATCGTAAATCGAGATCAATTGGGCCGATCTCGGTTCGTACCGGACTAAACCAAAGGTGTGGAGTACACCACCAGCAGAACCCATATTTTTCATACACTAAATTGATTTCTAAAATCAAACAAAGCCTTCTAAAAAAGAAAAAAAAAGAAGAAAAAACCATATTAATTTGTCAACTTTCTCGTTACAGATATTTCCTAATTTGGAGTAATTTGACAGATTTCTTGAAAAAATAATGGATGATTTTTGGCAAAATTATTGACAAAGTAATTGTAGAGTTATGGAAGATCGGTTACTTCTGGCAGACGCATACTCGAGTAAGAATACAACGATAAAAATGTTTAGTTATATATTTTTTTCTGAATTATATTATTAATTTAAAAACAGGATCCCTTTGTACAATTTTACTAAAATTTTGCCTGTTCACGAATATACACAGAAGCGTAAACAAAATATCAAATGACTTTTGACCATCCCTAAAAGATCCATTATAAATTTGTTGCATCATGTAATTCCAAAACTCAGCCTCTCCACCATTAGTTTGTTCTTCACCTTCTCAAGAACCGTCCATAATACATGGGGTTCTCAATCATTGGTTCACTTAAGGATGGGATGTGTCTTGCAAGTATTACCCAAGATGCATGAGTGCAATAACCGGATCTTGGGAGCAACCATGAGAGCAGAAGAGTACCGCTCAGGCTGAGAAGGGAATGGGATCGTGACCAAACTTCTCAGTGAGAGTGAACCAATGCAATGATAGGTTATTAGGTTGTGTAAGGAACATAATCATCAATTCGTCATATTCTCTAAAGCAGACGTAAAAGGATTCTTTGCCGAGGCGTGGAACAGTCTCGTGAAACGCAGTGGAACGCGCGAGAGATGGGAAGTTCTTGGAGACGTAAGAGAGAATTGGGAGACAGTGAACTCGGACTAAGACGTTCAAAACGAGGTCGTGTGGTAACGAGGGAAACAAGGACGGTCGCTCTCGGTGTTGGAACCGGCGTTGGAAATGGTAGGCCGTAGGCATCGTCTTGAAATTTTAGGGTTATTCTATTTTAATTGGCTTTGGCTTGGCAGAGAAATTTTAGAGAATTAATTACCATTATTGTGCTACAATATAGTAGATGTACTCTCAAGTCTAATTTTTTTTTTTTTTTTGGGTCAATTGAGATTCATTAGAACGAAAAACCAAGAAAACAGACTAAGTCACGTAAAAAATATGGGGAAGCTCCAAAAAACGAGCAAATCAAATATATAAGCTAAACGCTTGCTTCCTCTTCATTAAGAAAGTGGAAAAAGCATCAAGAAGCTTCTCGGAAATTTTATACAGTTACATTTTACAAGCCTAACAACCCTTAAGCTGCAAGGTATGTATCTTATTGCCGATGAACCCGACGGTATTGGAAGATCGATGCAGTTTCATACTAGTCCTTGTCGTAACTTTCCAGATCGGGAATCAAAGATGTACAACCTTGATAAGGGAATGAATGATCATTCAGACGATTTCTGTCGGGGCGAGGAAAACCATGACGGCGGTGGAATGATTTTTCCCGGTGGCTCGTTGGCGACTGAATCCGCCATCAGAATCAGATTTAGGCTTTAAATAGGCGAGTTCGTTAAATTTCCCTTTTTGTCGATGTTGATGTTTGTCCTTAATTCGAGTGGTTAATGATGATTTAAAAAAAAAAACTCTTAAAATATTAATGGGCTTATTTAGAGTCCATAATGGATTGAGATTTTGCTGTAATCATACTTAGATTTATGTAACCAACGGTTATAAATAACACTTGTGTTAATTAGGGTTCTTACATTTTTTTTTTTTTATCTTTTCTCCTCCTAAAAAACAAAAATCTGATATGTCTACCCCAGCCGCCACCAACGCCGACAACCCACCGCAAGAAAGTAATCATCGAGCGTCGTGGTTGTTGTCGTTACTAAAAAGAATTTTTAATGTTTTACATAGTTTTTATCTCCTCCAATGTCAACTCATACGACGTGTTGTAAACTTACACTATGGAAACCCTAATCCATACTTGTCTTCCACCACAGCCTTATCCGCCGACCAATCTTCTTTGATGTTGTCGTCATTACCAAAGGATGTCCTTTTGAACTGCTTAGCCCGTGTCCCTAAACGCTACGACCCAATCCTCGCTCGTGTTTCCATAAGCTTCCGGTCCCTTGTGCTTTCACCTGAGCTTGCAAAGATGCGGTCTTTGATGGGCACAAAAGATTACCCTCTCTTGAATGTATGGTTTAAGACTGAAACCATTCCCGAGGAGTTTCATTGGTTCACTTTTAACCTAAACGTGATGAAAACAGGTGATGAGAGCTCAATCCCGTTTCTTTCTCAACGGACGCTGTATTTTTCCTCCGTCTCTATAGGTTCCAAGATCTATTTCATTGGTGGATCCATGTATCATTCTTCCCCGGAGCTATTGGAGTTCGACTCCTTGTCCAGCGAGTTGTGCATGTGTCCTAGTATGAGGGTGGCCCGCATGTTACCTGGCGTGGCAGTTTTGGATGGGAAAATATACGTAATGGGAGGGTGTCCCAAAGACCAGATTCAGGTTGAAGTTTTTGAACCAAAGACTCAAACTTGGGAAGTTGGGCCATTAAGCTCTCAAGGAGGAATCCAATACAGAGAAAGATTTATGGAACATGGAGCAATTGTGGCTGAAGCTGTGGCTGCGGATGGGAAGGTTTATGGTATGACTTACAGAGAAGGGTGTCACATAATCTACAATGCAAAAGATGGTACATGTGAGACTTTTGAGATGGCAAATGAAGATACATGGAGGAGAGGTGGGGTGTGTGTGATAGCCAATGTGATCTATGCTTATTACTCGAATTTTGGGTTAATGTGGTATGACTCTAAGGAGAAGGTATGGAGAGTGGTTCAAGGTTTGAAGCTTGATGAGTCAATTGACATACCGGTTGGAATGGTGGATTGCAATGGACAACTTGCGTTTCTGTGGGAAGATTGTAGCAATATTAGTGATACAACTAAAAAGAAGATTTGGTGTACGATGGTCGTGTTGGAGAGGAGTGTATTAGCGATTCATGGAAAGGTCGAGTGGTCTGATACAGTTGGATGTGTCCCTCGTGACTACAGCATTTGTCGTTGTCTAGGTGTTTATGATTAAATCCTAATTAGATTTATGATGTAATAATAATACAGTGTGATGATGTTATGATATGTTTTTAAACTTTGTGAATCATAATATATATATATATATATATATGTCCCATTCGCTGAACAGTTAGCATCACCAATGCACCATGAATTGCATCTTTGTTTGCTTTTCATTTGCATATATAGCACGATGAATATGTTTTCTTAGATGTAGTATTTCCTCTCTCACGAGTTCGATCAGAAAAAAAGGAATTATAATCAAAGGAGAATAATGTTTACTTGTTAAATTCAGAATTTTCTAAATTATGATCCTATATGAAACAATTTCAAAACTTTATTATAGGGAAATTATATTTTACCAAATGGTGGATCAGAACTCTGAAGCAATTACCAAGTTTGTTGTCCGTAACTAAACCATGAATCAAAAGGTTGAAAATATATGAATGATAAGCAACTTGATCAGCGATTATTTTGTTACATTATCTTCGCTAAAGTTCTATTTTGAATCCTTTGAAATCCATGGCAAAAGTTGACCAAAAAAAAAAAATCCATGGCAAACCTGAAGATGTCTTGTTGATATAGGGTGGGCGGCCACACTTTTAAAGCTTAACAGACCTGGTATAACATCTTTAGCATCACACATAAAGATAACCTTTCGGTATCTCGGATTTCAAATGCAGAAGAAGGAGATGAGGTGTACATATATACTTTTTGAAGATTACGTTTATCTTTTTCTTTCTAGTCTACAGTTTCCAATGGATGCTCCGGTTTCATCTTCTTTGTATATTCTGTTGGAACTTTGCACCAATCCCTTGCGAAAATCTCTCAAGTCTAATTGGTCTGTAATGGACACGTACGCTCATACTGTATATATGTTCAAGTTTCTCGTAGCCATACTTATGGGCATACTCCAATGTGTATTTCTATGTTTCTTTGAATTTCTTATGTTCTTGCTCTCTCTCTCATTATGCATGCACCTGAAGAACGAACCGCTGGTTTTTTATAAGCCAAAGCTTGGAGCCAAACTAATTAATCCATGTAGTATTGGTGTTATTATATTGAAGATCGTCTTTGCCAAATTAAACATCAAAATGATATTGTAGGGAAACAAAAACAAATTTACTTGCACCAAATTAAACATCAAAAATGATTTCCTTTCTAACCTAAAGAAGCTCTGTTTAATACATTTTCTGGCGTTTAAGTTTTTTAAAATTTGTATAGACGGAAGATAATTTCTCGTCACGTATAAATTATAAAAGTTGACAGTTTAAAAATATACGAAGTAATCTTAGTATATATTTTATTATGAACTAGGTCAAAGTTAAGGGAATTAATTATTCATTAAATTTCCCTAAAACATGCTGCTGCTATATAAGACAGTGGTACTAGGTTAATTACGGTCATTCGCTTTGGTTTCTTCTTCTCCACGATACAATGTCTACACCTAGCGCCTCCAACGCCGACGAGCAACAAGATAATAAACATCATGAGCCGTCATCGATTTCTTCATTGCCTGAGGAAATCGTTTTAAGCTGCTTAGCCCGTGTCCCAAGAAACCATTACCTAAACATCTCTTGCGTCTCTAAAACCCTAAGGTCTCTTGTCCGCTCGCCTGAGCTCCACCGATTGCGATCCCTCCTCCACAAGAGTTTCCTTTATTTATATTTCTGCGAAGAGTACGATACAACCTACCAATGGCTAGCTCTCCGTCCGATTAATGAGAAAACAGCTAATGAGTATCGATTGGTTCCTATCGATTGGATTATTGTGGTTTGACACAAAGCTCAACGTTTGGAGAAGACTGGTTAGTCGTGATGGGAAGCAACTGTCTCTCTTACGTGTGCAGGCTATGGGGGAATACGAGGGAAAGCTAGCGGTTTTTAAACCCCTCGATAATCTTGACCAAATTAATGAAACAAAGAGTGTTAATGTTAGTATGTTCTTGGTCACGTTGGATATGGTTGGAGAAAAGATTTGTGGGACGATCGAATGGTCTGGTGTTGTAGCGACAATACCGTATTCATCATATTGGTGTCTGCATTGTTTAGCTGTTTCCGATTGATCTCACAGCTCATATGATTAATATGTTTCAAAGAAACATAAGGAAGATATAGTTTGTTTAAGGAAGCATATGTTTGAAAATTTCCGAGCTGTATTTATGTTTCTTTGAATTTCATATGTTCTTGCTTGCTCTTTATTAAAACTATATCTTCCTTTTTTTGAACATTTGTAAACTACATTCCTTAGTTTTTAGCCTCTTTTATTTTTATGACGACAAAACCTTAAAACACACGGAAAAAAAACCGTTCACTTTTACCTGAAAGTCAACATTTCAACGCTCTCCTTTTTCCTTTATCCCGCAAATTTGTCATCTTTAGAGATTTTTCACTGAAATTGCAAACTTGCTTTAAAGAACACACCTTTTGAATTTGTACGTTTATCTCTGTTAGCCTACAGTTCCCAATGGATGCTCTTGTTCCACATTGTCACATACTCTGTTGGAACTCTGCACCAATCTCCTGCAAAAATCTATCAACTCCAATGGTCGTTTCACAGCGTAATTGGTCCATTGTTGCGGGTCTTGTGTTCAGCGTTTACCTGATGAATAATCTAATGAACGTCTGCTCAAAGACTGGTTACGCTCTTCACGCACGCAAATACAAAATTGTTGTAATACTCTCTTTTGACAGGTTTGTTTTGCTCTCTCTCTCTCTCTCTTTTAGAAGTTGTTTTTCTTAACTCTCTTTTTCATTTATTTCTCTTCATCCATCTTTCTTACAACCTTACATTCTTCTTCTCTCATACATATAGAGTTGTCGCCAACTACTACTTTCTTTTCCTTACTGTTCTAACACCTTAACTCTAAGACTTAGACTCTCTTACACAAGCCACACTGCATTTCATTAAACTCTAACTACTAACTTTACCAACTCTTTTAGACTTAATCATCACTTGGTTACTCACACACATTTCCACTTGTTGTTCGCTTGGGCTGGACAGATTCGCAGGCCCATTTACTCTTTTACACAAAAGGGTTATTAAGCCCATACTCCTTCCTTTGACTCTTCTTTCCTTTGGTTGACTTTCTTCTTCTTCTTTCTTTCCAAAGACACGATCTTCTTCTTCTTCAGTTCTTCTTCTGATTCTTGATTACCAATTTATGCTTCTTGTCTTCTTCTCCTTTTGTAGGGTTGCTCAAAGGATCAACTCTCAACAAAAATGCCTCTAAGAACGGTTTTCTCATGGAACACGGTTCTCTCGGCCAATGCGAAACGAGGAGACATGGATTCCACATGTGAGTTCTTTGATCAGCTGCCTCAAAGGGATTTGGTTTCTTGGACCACGATAAATGTTGGGTCTAAGAACATTGGTCAGTATCAAAAGGCTATAAGAACTATGGGAAATAGTGAGGGAAGGGATTGAGCCGACACAGTTCATGCTGACAACTGTTCTTGCCTCGGTTGCTGCAACTCGCTGTTTGGATACAGGTAAAAAGATTTATTCTTTCATCATTAAGCTTGGCCTTCGCGGCAACGTAGGTTTCAAACTCACTTCTTAGTATGTACGCAAAATGTAGTGATCTGATGATGGAAAATTTTGTTTTTGATTAATGGTGGTTAGAGACATCTCAAGCTCGAATGCTATGATTGCGTTACACATGCAGGTTGGTCGGATCGATCTTGCTATGGTTTAATTTGAGCAAATGGCGGAGCGAGATATCATCACTTGCAATTCTATGATTTCTGGTTATAATCAGTACGGGTATGATCTCAGAGCTCTAAATATGTTTTCCAAGATGCTGATGGATTCTCTGTTGTCGCCAGATAGATTCACTTGGGCGAGTGTGTTATCTGCTTGCGCCAATCTCGAAAAGCTTAGTGTCGGGAAGCAGATTCATTTGCATATCATTACGAGAGGATTTGATATCTCTGGAATTGTGTTAAACACCTTAATATTGATGTATTCTAGGTGTGGAGGGGTCGAGACTGCCCGAAGACTCATTGAACAAAGAGGAACCACTGATCTTAAGACCGAAGGTTTACAGCTTTACTTGATGGGTATATCAAGCTTGGAGATATGAACCAAGCTAAAACTATATTTGATTTGTTGAAAGATCGGGATGTAGTCGTATGGACCGCCATTATTGTTGGATACGAGCAACACGGTTTGTATGGCGAAGCTATGAACCTTTTCAGATCAATGGTTGCAGAAGGGCAGATACCAAACATGTACACACTTGCAGCAATGTTAAGTGTAGCTTCAAGCTTAGCATCATTGGAATCCATGGGTATGCTGTAAAGTCAGGGGAAGTTTATTCGGTTTCTGCAGCAATGCGCTGATAACAATGTATGCAAAGGCGGGTAATATTATTTTAATACGCTGCAAAAGTGTTGTGAATCACTCAGGTTTGTTTTCTCTCTTTGAGTTTTTGTTTTCTTCATTTCTCATTCTCATAAATCTTCTTTTTCATACATGATTTTCTCTTACTTCTTGCATTCTTCTTTTCTAATGGATATATAGCATTGTCGCCAACTACTACTCTCTTCTTCTTACTATTATAACACCTTAACTCTAGGACTTAGACTCTCTTACACAAGCCACACTACACTTGATTAGACTCTAACTACTTACTTTACCAACTATCTTAGACTTCATCATCACTTGGTTTCTTACACACATTTCCACTTGTTGTTCGCATGGGCTGGACAGATTCGCAGGCCCATTTACTCTATTACACAAAAAGGTCATTAAGCCCATACTCATTCCTTTGACTCTTCTTTTCTTTGGTTGACTTTCTTCTTCTTCTTTCTTTCCAAAGACACGATCTTCTTCTTCTTCAGTTCTTCTTCTGATTCTTCTATCACCAATTGATGCTTCTTGTCTTCCTTTTATCTTGCATGCATCCTCAAAGGATCAACTCTCAACAGAAAGGGATACAATATCTTGGACATCCATGATGATTATCGCGTTGGGACAGCACGGTAACGCAGAAGAAACACTTTAGCTCTTTGAAAGAATGGTAATGAAAAGACTAAGACCAGATCACATAACATATGTTGGTGTCTTCTCTGCTTGTACTCATGCAGGTTTGGTCAATCAAGGCCGATAGGATGAAGAACATGGATAATATTGAACCTACTCTTAGCCACTACGCCTGTATGGTGAACATGTTTGGGCATGCTGGTTTATTGCAGGAAGCACATGAGTTCATCGAAAAGATGCTGATTATGCCTGATGTAGTGACATGGGGTTCACTGCTCTCTGCTTATAGGGTTCACAAGAATGTAGAGTTTGGAAAAGTTGCAGCAGAGAGATTGCTTCTTATCGAGCCAGGGAACAGCGTAGCGTACTCAGCCTTGGCTACTCAGCTTGTGGAAAATGGGGAGAATCAGCTAAGATCAGAAAATCCATGAAAGATGGGAGAGTGAAGAAGGTACAAGGGTTTAGCTGGATTGAAGTGAAGCACAAAGTCCATATCTTTGGAGTCGAAGACGGGACTCATCTACATAACCATGAAGAAGATTTGGGACGAGATCAAGAAAATGAGTTATGTTTTTGACGCTGCGTCTGTACTACACGACCTCGAAGAAGAGGTTAAGGAGCAAATTCTAAGGCACCACAGCGAAAAACTAGCTATCGCTTACGGTTAATTAGCACTCTGGATCAAACCACACTGAGAATCATGGAGAATCTCAGAGTGTGCAATGATTGCCATACAGCAATAAAGTTCATCTTCAAGCTTGTTAGAAAGGGAGATAATAGTGAGAGACACTACAAGGTTTCATCATTTCAAAGATAGGTTCGATTCTTGCCGGAATTACTAGTACGAAAATCAAGACCAAGAGGTAATCGAAATGGAAGATCCAACAATTCTCAAATGGTCTGACTCAAGCCATTATACAATAGATTCAAATATGGCTGCTTCTTTTCATGGAAACCAACAAATAAATTCCTCTTTATTGCTTTATTTGTTATATTGCTGTGTAAGTTGTATCATCATTATTGAGTATTAGAATATGACGACATGGTATTTGACTCTTTAGTACTAGAGATCATTGTGCTTTTATGAACGATGGATATAAATCTTGGGAAAGCAGAGAGAGAGAGAGTTAATGGAATTGGAACAATTAAAAAGAAAAAAAGTATATGAAGAAGAAGAAGAAGAGAATATGTTCCCTTTGTTACCAAAGGTTTTCTTTTCTTAACCATTTTCTACATAATACATAGATAGATACATACATACATACATATATAAAGAAATGGGAAGATCTTGGTCGGCATAATATGTATGACTTAGCAGAGAGAGCCCACACTTGTTTGGCTTACGTGGCAGGTCCGGGCAGGTCAATTTGAGATGATCACATATAAGAGTCACTGCCCGTTCTGCCCGGAGGATTCGTAGTAACAACTACGGGCAGCTTCACACACTCTCTCTGTCTCTCTCATCTCTCTTCTCTCTATATCTCAGTTTCTAAACAACTCTTCTTTGATCACAAATCTCAGAACGGTTCCATTCATGAACAGAGCTCATAGCTTGTAGTTTCTTTCTTCTTCTTTTTTTTTCCCAACAATTTCAGAGCTCTTTCTCTTGTACGTTCTTCTTCTTTTCTTTTGAGCAAAAACGTTCTTCTTTGTATTCTCTCTGTTTCTTGTTTTAATTAAATTAATGTTTCTTTTTCTGCCTACATAATCATATGTTGTAAAAATTTCAGACCTTGTTTTTCCTCTGTTTTCTACTTGTTTTCTAGTTTATAGATTTTTCCATATCTGTTATTGTTATTGCAGATCTAACGGTTTCCACAACTATTAACTACAGAGTTAACAGAGAAGTGAAACAATGGAGTGGGAAAAAGAAGGTTTGAGGTTGTCCCTGGCGCTTGGAAACGCCTCACTGCTAAAGTGTGCCGCTTCAGCTTTAACGGCTACTGTGCTTTCCTCTTTGCTAGAGCTCTTCGCTCAGGCAAGTCTCTCTACTTCTCTCTGTTTTCCGAACTTTAAATCTTGCTTTTTGTCTCCTATTAACACGTTTTTAAGCATTCACGGTCGCAATGAACAACCTTTTTCCGATAAATCATACATTAGAAAATGATTTACTGAAAACGATGAATACATGTATTTATGGTCTTTGTACAAAGGAAATTTGTACAAAACTATCTTGACCGACTTGAAGCGTTACTTCTTTAAAATGGGTGGTTGGACAAAATAAATAAATTTTAAGTTTTGGTGAAAAATATCGTGTGTGTGTACAATAATATTAGTTGAGGAGGGTTGCTTTAATGAGAGAATATGAAGATAAAATATTATAAATGGTGGGGTCTAAGAAATATCAAAAAGGTATATTCCATATATTATGCTTCTCTCTTTAGTGCTAGATAGAAGAAGAAGCCCATGACCCAGTTCAGCATTTTCTGGCCCAGTTCAGAATTGTAGGATCGTTAAACATAATATTTCGTGGGTAGTTAGTTGATCGAATGAAATATGAAATTGCAGGTGGCTATCTTGGAGGGTGATGTTAAAGAGAATGGAAACGAGGTGGTTGATGCAGAGGAAGGCAATGGAAACAATGAAAACGGTGATGATGATGATGATGATGACGATGATGGAGGGGAAGATGAAGAAGGTGGTGCGGATGATGCAGAAGGAAAGGAGACCAAGAAAGGACCGGTAAGTGGTCCTGATGGGAATGATGGACTTGGAGATGATGATGAACCTGAGGGGGATGACAACAACAATGATGATGATGATGATGATGATGATGATGATGATGATGACCATGAGAATGGTGATGATGAGGATGATGGAGACGAAGAGGAAGATGGTGGTGAAGAAGATGAAGACGAGGAGGCAGAGGCAGAGGAGGAAGAAGAGGAAGAAGAAGATGAGGAGGAGGCACTACAGCCGCCAAAGAAGAGGAAGAAGTGAAAACAACCGCTTTGATCTTCTAACATTTTAGATTCAAAAAATCAAAACTTGATGTGGGTTTATATCTGAGGAGAATCTTAAGCCATCATCAGCTTTACTGTGTCTTTGTTGTTCCATAAACCAAAACGACTTTGTTTACTGTGTACCATTCTGAGATCCCAAGGTAACAGCAATTGCAACTTCTTGTTTCAGTCGATCATAGATAAATGATGAGGTCATCAAATGTGATCAAATATACATAACAACTTAAAGGGTCAAATCTAGACATCATAAAGAAAATTAAATCTATGGAGTCATCTCACTTTGATTGAACAACGGAGACAAAGCAAAAAAGCTTGGTCATCTGAGAATCCATATGATATGACCCAAAATAAACTCCATGAACTCCTCAGGAAGACAAAGGCATACACATCAGTTTCAAACAAGACAATAAACCTCTTAAATAAAAACTTTTTCATAGATTGCACAGAGGTCGTCAACCAATAATCACAATGATCTTACTAGACTAAGACTGGGAATTATATGAGCAATAGACACGTCTCTGTCTGAAGTGTTTCGGACAAAAGTGAAACTAATGGGGAGAAAACCGAAAAAGAAAACATCCGAAAAAAACCTAAAAACACTGACTTGATATGAATATCAGAAATACAAAGTGAAACAGAAGAGAACGGAGATGGGGAAGAAATGTTAAAAAAGAAATCCCAGAAACTGCATGTGTTTATCTTTCTGATGCTCAGCTCACACCATCTGCAAAGTTGGAGTTCAAGAAAACAAACCAAACATAACTTTATCAAAAGCTTAAGACAAATAAAAACATATCAAAACAAGACCAATATCCAATCCTCCTGGTCATATAACCCCGAAAAAGTGAAAACAAAAGAAATCAAATGGACATATAGCAAAACGATAATAAGACTTAAATTCGACAGACTAAAACCATAAATGAAACAGCAAAAACAGCTGAATGAAAACTGTAACTGTCCATTTTAAGAAGTAAGCACCAAAACCAGATGAGAGGGAGATGGTGAACGATCAGATTATAAAACTCAGTGCAGTACTAAAACCAAATAAGCAAAGAAATGAATCAAAATGTTCATCCAAAAACTAAGCTCAATAACATTCGCCCCACCATTACCAACATTACAAACAAACAAGAGAAAATAACTATGATAAAACAAATGACACTAAGAAAACTGTAAAACCAAGAGACTGCAAGGAAATAAATGTAAACAAAACCAAGGAAAACAAAACAAAACAAAACAAAAAGAGACTAAGTGAAGGAAACTAAAGAAAACAAAAGCTTGGTTTGACACTTCATGTCTTCATCCGTCATCTAATCTTGTAAAGACTCCAAGCAAGATTCATGAATGATTAAGGCCGTAGATGACATGCTAACCTCCCTCATGAACCTAATTTAGATAATTAAAGCCTGTAGCTTTCAACCTAGAATATCTTTATTTCGGCATTACAGCCAACACATTAAGTAGTAAACATACTGAGAGTCATCACGCCAGCTCATATTCCGATTACTACCACAAAGCCTTAACCTATTTTATCTACATTAAGCCAAAGATCCACGCAATACTATGAATCATGCAACACGTGCTTATCCAAAGACATATAAACCACAATATGGGCACAAGCATTGCTATAAAACACAAGAGATTACAGCGAGAGCGTACCAGGAATAGTTTGAGTAGCCATGAAACGAGCCGCCAGCATCCGAATCTTTACCATTCCCTCTTTTCCCGGTATCCGAATCAGGGTAAGCATTAGGCAGATTCTGACCTCTAAAGTAAGATCCCAGAGCTGATAGACCAGCACCAACGCCTGGCTCACCAATACCACCCATTTGGCTCGATTGCAACAAATCATGGCTCAGCCCACCATGAGTCAGAGCACTCGCCAACATCGGATACATGTAACTTCCTCCGGCGGCTGCTGCCAAAGCTGGATTCCCCAACATTCCGTTTCCATAAACCGGATGGTATTGGTTCCCTAGCATAAACGGCGATGCAGCCATTCCACCACCGTTAAATACATGTTGCCCTTGTTGCTGCGTCTGACCCTGATTAGCCATCGAACCTAAACTGATCTTCACCGGACCCGTCTGGTCATGCCCCTTTCCCGACCCCGCAGGCCCCATCGAAGCAAGCTGGCATGTCGCTGTTCGATTAAGAATCCTCTTCTTCGGCTCCTTAAGCGCCTCTCTTGCTCCTTTCCTCGTCTTGAACATAACAAATCCAAAACCTTTAGCCTTGCCCGTGACCTTATCTATAACGACGGTGCACTCTTCGATCTCGCCATAGCCTTGGAAGACTCCGAAAAGAGTCTCGCGCGTGGTCTCCCATGGAAGACCATAAACGAAGATTTTCCTGTGGGTGACGTCACGGTCGGCGGCTTCTACGACGGCTGAATAGATCGAGGAACCGATCTGCGCGGCGGAACAAACGAGGTCGACGAGCTGCTCCTTGGAGTAGGGTTGCAGAAGCTCCCGGAGCTCTTCCGGGTCGAATTCTTTCTCCGGTTCAGAACCGCTAGAATCCGAGTCTGAGCTGGAACTCGAATACGGCGTCGAGGATTCAGGTTGTTGCTGTTGATGATGAGCAGATTTATTGATAATCTTCTGCTTCTTATCGATTTTCTTGGAATTGGATTTCACTAGTTTGCGCTTCTTAGATTTGTCTAGGGTTTTCGCCATTGCAGAAGAGGATAAACGAGTCAAGTTTCCGGATTTTGATTTTTGATTTTTGATTTTAGGTTTCTTTATCGGGGTCATCCCATTTATCCTCTATATAGTATATATATATATATGACGTCGTTAGAAACCTCTGTCGCGCGTTTGAGTTCAATTTCGCGTTTCAATATTGAATCCTTACCATCTAATCGCGATTTGTGACCGCTAAATTATGTCTTCACTTATTTTCAGAACCTCACAATCTATCGAAACGCATTTGTAAAAGAAAAAAACTCAATTTCCAGGGCGTGGCGGCAACCACACAAAACCATGTCAAGATCAGTGACGAGCTTAAAAAGACATGTCTGTATAAAAAACAAATCTTTTTGGACCCGAAAGTTTAAGGAAGGTTTTTTGTTCTGTTCTTAGATCCTCACAGCACCAACAGAAAGAAAAACAAAGCCGTCTCACAAAGAAAGATAACAAATGATCAAAACCAAACCAAAGCTGATTCAGCTGAAGCATACCATAGACCAGTATGAATGGATTCATATGGATAGCTGCAGAGAAACATTGGAGAGGAAGAAAAAAAATCAAAAACCGAATAACTGATAACAAGAATGATCCTATAAGAAAACAATGATTGGCAACGGTAATTAATGTCCAGTTTTAAAGAAAAAACGCAAAGTCTAGGTATCGATGCTCGGCCAGAGCTATACTCTCTACTGTTCATGGAGAATGAACAGAGAGCGTGTAAACCAAAGGGCAATCCAAAACATATATAAACAGGTGAAAACAAACTGGGTAGAAGAGCCAAGGAACCAAAAACATTATGAATCTTAAGCAAGGAAACTTGGCAACTGGGATCAAAACACAGATACATTAGAAAAAGTGTCAGACAAAGGAAAAAATGAATGTGATCAAGAAAGTGAGAAGTGTATAAAACCTTTGCTAGCTAGGAAAAAAAAAAAAAAAATCAGTGTTTGATAGATAGAAAACTACACCTCATTCCAAGGAAAGCAAGAAGCTATCGAAAGGGTCTTAAAAAAGAAACATTTGGCAGTAAAGGAAGAAACGATTTTAAAACAAGAACGTTATACCATTACGCCTGATCCTACAACTGCAGCTGAAGATACATACTTTTAGCAGTTATGACATATAGTGGACAAAACTATAAATGTCTTGACCTTCTTTCGCAGCTATAGAGACCAGACGTTTGATGGTATAACGGGAAAAAACAGAAGAGAAAACTCCCATACGCAAAGCCACAGAAGAAAACTTGATAGTAGAAAGGATACAGAAGAACCATAATGTGGAAAACCTCTCTCTCTCTCTCTCTAAATTTAGTAAAACAGCACAAGACAAAGAAAACTAACTTCACAGTAGTCTTATTTTGCAAGAAGAACAAAGAGTTAAACTTCCAGAGAGAAAGAGAAATAGGAAGTTAAGCACACAACTCCCTTAGAAGGAGTCATTTGGGGCAAAACACCTTGTTAAAAGACAGAACATACTGAAACTAAAATAATAGGCTTGAAACAGTAATGTAGAAGATAAAAGAACGCAAAGAACTCCGGCAATTCCCAAGATATCAATTTCCAGCTACCAGATTAGTCATTACCCTAACCTAGAATTGAAAGTCTAATCAAAGAAGACAGCATAAATATCAGAGAACAGAGTCATACTCATACCAATTGGTCTATCCTTATCTCAGATACCAAGCACGTTCACCATCAAAACCAGGACCAACACCATTAACTTCACCACTATATTGACCCGCCATGCCCATATGGTTCGGTGGCCCCTGGTTCATCATACCCGGGCCAAACATACGATAGTTCGGTAAACCAGCAACCATCTGATTACCCATTAGTGCACTTTGATTACCCATTAAACCACCATACATCGGGTTATAACCAGGAGGCTGTCCGTGTCCGTAAAAGGGCATGTTTTGTCCAGCATACATTGGCATGTTCTGCGGCTGGTGTCCCTTATCGAAACCATGTGCATGTCCATGAGCCAAATCGAGCCCAGGCAAGGCTACTTCACTCTGATTAGCCGTATGAGTTAGATCAATCTTCACAGATTCAACCGGTTCCCGCGGCTTTCCAGCCCCAGACGGCTTAGCCTGAGATAGATTACAGCTCACGGTGCGATTGTACATCCTCTTCTCTGGATTTCTCAGAGCTTCTCTTGCTCCTTTACGCGTCTTGAAGAGCACAAACCCGTACCCTTTGGCTCTTCCCGTGTCCTTATCCATAACCACCGAGCACTCCTCTATCTCCCCGTAGACCTCAAAAGCCGTCTTGAGATTCTCGTGCGTCGTGTCCCATCCAAGTCCACGCACGAATATGTTGCGCTGAGCGGTGTCTCGATCCGCCGATTCAAGCACGGTGGAGATCAAACGGGAACCTTTCTCGGCGGTTTTGTAAATGAGGTTCACAAGCTCTTCCTTGGAGTAAGATTCAAGCAGATTCTTTATGTCTTCCTTGTCGAACTCGAAATCCGAATCGGAAACGTTGGTGGTGGTGGTGGTGGTGGTAGCAATCGGGACCGTGAAGGGATGCGAATTACCGGAAAGGACGGGTTTTTGGGTCTCTGGCTCATCTTCGTATTTGTCTGGCTTCTCGCGTTTCTTCTTGCTTTCCTTTGACTTGTTATGTGGATTCTCATCGACTTCGGATTTCTTCGATTTCTTCTTTGATTTCTCAGATTTCTCGGGCTTTTCGGATTCGGATTTACGCTTCTTAGAGATTTTCTTCTCCCTCACCTCCAGTGCTTCCGCCTCGCGTCGCTTCTTCTCCTTTTTCTCCTTTTTCTCTTTCTTCTCCTTCTTCCGATCTTCTCTATCTTTCGCCATTGTTGACGGCAGTCTCGACAAAAACCCAGAAACGAGAGAGACAGAAACTCCGACTAAATAGGTTACCAAGATAACACTAGAATTTTAAGTATATATAAAACAAAATATCAATTCTAACAAAAACGTCTGGGTGGTGTAGTCGGTTATCACGCTAGTCTCACACACTAGAGGTCCCCGGTTCGAACCCGGGCTCAGACACTTTTTATTTTATTTAATTTACGTGATTTTCAATGATCTATAAGGGTAAAAAGGTCATTGTGTATTTTTTCTCGGCCGGCGAAGAACCGGTGCCGAGTCGTTTCACAATGACTTGTTTAACGGCAACAAACACCTAACCAAAACAAAACTCGAAAAAGAGATTTAACTAAATCGGATCGAAGCTCGACGAACTATCTCTTTTCTCTCTCTCTGGGTATTCGTGGGTTTTACCCAGATTTAGGAATTCGATGGCGGACGAACTGGAATTGTCGCCGATGTTGGAACCTTCCGAGATCGATCTCGAAGCGGGTCATGGTGAACAGATTCAGTGCCGAATCTGCCTTGAGACTGATGGTAATTTCTTGAAAAAGGACCCTATATTCGCATCTCTTTTGCGTTGCTTTTTGCTAGTGACCATTGGTTGGTCAAGATCGAGTTCAGTGATCGGAATGATGAAAATTCTTACAGTTGGTAGATCATAAATGGTTCTGATGTGATTTAGATTAGTCTTACCGATAAACTCTCGTCAAAGACTACTGATTTATAACTGTGACATAGAGAAAGAGTGTGTTTTTGTTCGAAGGTCTAGCTCATTTATTGATCCATGGTCCTGAATTGTTTGTATGTCAGGTAGGGATTTCATTGCCCCATGCAAATGCAAAGGAACATCAAAGTATGTACATCGTGATTGCTTGGATCATTGGAGAGCTATAAAGGTACATAAATTTTATGCATTTTAATCCCAACTTTGGTCCATGCTTGGAAAGCCATTAGTGTTACTGGAAAGCTGCTCCTTTTCACTCTCCGAAGAGATATTTGCTTCTTCTTCTTTTCTTCATCCATTGCATTCCAAGTATTAGTGGTAGATGGTCAAGCTAACTCAAAAAGGATTTTCCTGTAGATGTAAATTTTCTGTTTCTGTTGAATAAAACCATTTAAAGGCTTAAGAAGTATGGTTTTGGAAAAAAAAAAAACTCAGACTTGACATATCTTGTATGAATGATGATTAGAGAGAGTGGTGTTGTTTAGTCAGTATCAGGGTAAACTAATGAATAGCAGATGACAGATGTTAACGCATAGTAACCTCATTTGATTTCAGGAAGGTTTTGCGTTTGCACACTGCACAACTTGCAAGGCTCCATATTATCTTAGAGTTCATGGTGCTGGAGATAGGAAATGGAGGACACTGAAGTTTCGCTTCTTTGTTACACGAGACATTTTATCCATATTTCTTGCTGTTCAGCTTGTAAGCATTCGATTTTCATCTGTGCTTCCTCTTCTTAAAGTAATTTTTCTTTCATTTGGTAATATATGTAACTCAGGTTATCTAAATGACTTCATCTTCTGACAGGTAATTGCTGCATTAGCCTACATGGTTTATTTCATAGATAGCTACCAGCAATCATGGCTTCGTCATATTTGGGGTTTTGACAGTGAGATCACGTTTTATTACATGTGTGGTATGATACCAAACAATGATATCTAAATGCTCCTCTATATGATATAGTATTTCAGTAAAGTGTCTGCTAGATGCCAGTGGTCGGTGCATCCGTCTTCAGCTATTAACACGCCTAGAAATGCTAAGCCTGCTGTTGTATTTAAGTCCTAAATAACGCTTCCCATCAATCAGAATATGAGATTCCAATATAATGAGTTCTGTACTGGATGAGTTCATCGTTCATATTCCTCTCTTATGGAGTCTCTACGTAGTCGGAAGTGAAGCAAGGTTTTGTCGTACTTAATACTTAGATCTAGTTTAAGGGGTTGCCAAGGTTAGACATGTACTGTTAGATCTCTGGACTTCGTAGAGTTTTGAACTAAATGACAATTGTCAAAGTAATTTTGTTTGGTCCTCCTGGAATCTTTTATATAGAAATTTGTGCCAAAGTCATTGTTGAATTTACGCATATTAAAGTACATGAGGATGTTTACTTTGCTCAGGAGCTTTACTATTCTTCGCTCTTCTGGGTCTATCTGGATGCTTCATAACTTGCTACGATCGAAGAGTTCGCAATGACTTAGCTCAGCCTTGTCGTGAACTTTGTCTCTGTTGCTGTCAACCTGGGTACAACCTTTAATCATATACTGTCTTTATTTTTTCAGTTATATCTTGTTTAAAAGCAAAATTATCGGCGTTTTCATGTTTAGAAGTTAGAAGTCTCCTCCTTTAGTCACGTGACTGAAGTAGTGTAAGAAATTACCTACCTGTAGTTGTGGTACTTTGCCTTCTTGATTATGGACAAGCCATATCAGAAGATATATTTTGTAGGCAAACTAGAGGAACCTAGTTACACAGACGTTAGATGAATTATAAAAATAGGAAATAGACTACTCAGTTTCTCCTCTTCTTTTGTTTGCTAAGATGCAAGTTTCGAGATCTTACGTAGAAACTAGATATCCATATAGAGGGTTTACTATCTTGCAGCTACTTACACTTTCATTCCACTCTTTTGTAATTCTTACATCCAAACTAGAAAACCACAAGTAGAATCATCCCGCCTTCTCTTTCTTTGTCAGATAAGACCTCTTAATACAGTGTTTCACGCAATGAGAAGATATATAAATTTGTCTCTAATTCAGTTGGCAGAGACATATATTATAGATAATCTTTTGGCTCGAGTTGACTTTATCCGTTTGGTGAAACATTTATATGAATATGCAGGATATGCACAGACTGCCATCTACCGGGAACTATATGTATGTGGGCAGATTGCACGGCATGTACTGAAGGCTGTGCAAGTGCAGTTAGTGAATGTGGTGGTTGCCTTGGAGGTGCAGGGGAAGCCGGATTGCCATTGCTCTTCATAATGGCATTAGTAGTTCTCGGTTTATTTACGGTTATAGGTATTTTCTACAGCGTATTGGTTGCAACCATGGTTGGACAACGCATTTGGCAGCGCCATTACCACATTCTCGCTAAAAGAATGCTAACAAAGGTGAGATTTTTATTACCTTTCTTTTGCGGTTTCTGTTAGTGTGTTTTGTATCATTCGCTGTTATTATCTTTCTCTCTTTTTATTAGGAGTACGTGGTTGAAGATGTAGATGGGGAAATGATGGGATCTGAGTGGTCGCCACCGGCTTTACCGTCTGAGCATGTCCAGCAGCTCAAGACGCTTGGCCTTCTATGATTGGAACTATGGAAGATTTTTCAGCTGCTCACAGGGAAATTCATCTGACCAAGTGGTAAGAGAGAGAGAGAGAACTCAAGAGTTTAAAGATTATGAATGTTAAAAATCTTAGAGATGCTTCGTATTTGTAAAGAAAGACTCGAACTTTTGAGTCAGAGACCTCTCCCATTGACGAATTGAGAGCTTTTGTGTTGTCTGTTCTTAACGTTTTTTATATTGGTAAATATCCACAAGTGTTGGTTCAAAAAGGTCGCGTCTTCTAGCAGTTATACCGCCATCGGCCCAACTTGTTTGCTCAGTGCTGCACATTTATGATTCGAACTCCAGAAAAAAATGAATTAAGTAACGATAAGTTTACGCTTTTTCTTCAGCCTAACGATCAATAAATCACAACGTACTAGCCTAAGTAATGGTGTTTCTTGTTTTACTTGTATTACGCTACGCGTGGATATTTTGTTAATAAAAATTATATATAATTAATTATATTTATTATGATATAAATTTTATATATTAGTATTTTGATAATATATTAAAAATATTATGATGTTAATATAATAATTTTAATGTAAATTATGATATTTTAACGATTTTGTTTTGAATCTATATATGTCATATTTCAAAAATGTGTTATTTTATCAAACACTTATAAGTTAATATACTCAAACTAACTAAAATTTTTACAAATTAATCAAATGCTACTTTTTAAACATAGTTTTGACATGATGATAAAATATTATACATTCACTTTTTTAAATTAAGAAGAAAAAATGGTTTTTTATCATTTTTACTTTTATTTTAATTATATATGTGTTATTTAAAAAAAAATTTACTTTTTTTTTGCTCTTGTTTAACCAATACAAAAATTTTATTTTGATTTATTAATTTAAAAATAAACTAATAAATAAAATATTTACTTTGAGATTAATAACAACTTTAGTTTTGAAACCAAAATAATAGTTGAATATGATATGAATAAAATCACACAAAATATGTGAATTAATTATATTTTTGTCAATTGGTTGTGTTAAATTTTAAATAATTTTTTAATAATTATACATCATCTCTTCTAATAAAAATGAAATTTTTTTTATCATGTTCATTTTTATTCTTGTTATATATGTTTTTTCAATCTTATTTATATATTTTAATGATTTTTGTATGATTATATTCAGTTTCATTATATTCATTCTCACTTTTTCTAATTATAATTACGTAGGAAAACTGGTACAATTTAATACATAAAAATATGGAAAAATTAATAACAACGTGAAAAACTAAAAACTAAGAATTTCTATTAATCTATTGCAATTCCAAATCGAATATACATAATGTATTTTTCAATTATTTTTGCATAATATATTACATGAGGTTATGTGAAAATATGTTTTGCATATGTAACAAAAATTTAGATGAATATAAATCATAGTTATTAGTTATTTAAAATTTTACGAGAAAATTTTTAAAATCAAATAACTTAATCTTGTATAAGTAGGATATATTTTTATTATAGAAAACAAATTAAATTTGTAACTTAAACAGTGATATTGAAGATTTTAATATCAGGTTGTTTTCTGTTAATAGAAATTTTTTTAGTTTTTAATTTATATTCTTAACAATAATATTAGAATTTAAAAACTTTTTTTTAATTTACAATTTTGATATATACGAATAAAATTGAATTTTTAAATGCTGATGCGGATGCCTTGAAAATAATATAACTTTAACTGTTATTAATAGTAGAAAAATTTGTTAACAATATTATTTTAAATTTTTTTCTATAAATATATTTTTGTTAACAATATAATTTTAAAATGTGGAATTTTTTAAATTTTAAATATTGATGTGGACCAATGAAATTGAACTTTTAAATCCTATGTGGACATTTTTATAGACATATAACTTTAACTTTTATTAGTAATAGATTTAGAAATCAAAGCTGGAAGATCCCACACGAAGCCCGTTGCGGTAAGTGATATTCGTCTACCCTCTTGTTTTGAAACTTACCTAATGTATTCGGATATTGCTTGGTCAGCAAATTGTTACCTTTGTGGTTCAGGTTGGGTTGTTAAAACCCGGTTAGATGCAATGTTATTCCAAAAATCTTTTTCGGATACCTCAGTCTCCTTCGCCTTAATGATGGAACCTCTTACTCTTTTTCAGTGCTTCATTTTTTAAAAGTGTCAAGTATCAATCACTTTATACGTTTCTCAGATTGCTTGGAATTTATCATTCTTCTCAAATTCGATGGTTAAACTTTAGAGATTTTATGGTTTCTTTTGGAATATTAAAGCAGCTTGTAGTGGCTTTGTTTATATCTCATTTCATCATATTCTTTGTAATTTAGCTAATATTTAAACAGATAGTTTAGTCAAATTTGTTATTTTACGTTGTAATAACTCATTCTTTAGTGCAACCTAACTCTATATTTTTGTTTTTTTTAAATTGAAATGGTTGCACACAAAGGAAAAAAAAACTTAAATTTTACTATAGTATGTGACAAAAATTTGATTGCTAATGTAAGAGCCCCTAAATATGTGTGCATACATCTAATTTCAATTCAAGATTTTTCTATTTTCCTACTTTAATATTGAAAATAATATACCGTTAAATGTTATTAAGAATTTTGATAAACAATTTTTCTTAATTGTTTTGTATTAACAATGTAATTTTATAATTTAGAATTTTTTTTTTAATTTTAGTTATTGATGTAAACTAATAAAATTGACCTTTTAAATCTTATATGGATGTCATTAGATGCATATAGCTTCAATTTTTATTTTTCTATAAATAGAATTTTTTGTTAACAATAGAATTTTTTTAAAAAATTTAATTTTAAATATTGATGTGGACCAATAGAATTGAACTTTTAAATCATATGTGGATATTCTTAGAGGCATATAGCTTTAACTTTTCTTAGTAATAGGATTTAGAAGCCTCCTTGTTTTGAGGCTTACCGAATGTATTCGGATGCTGTTTGGTCAGCTAATTGTTACCTTTGTGGTTTAAAGTTAGGTTGTTAAAACTCCATCAGATGTTATGTTATTTCAAAAATTGGATACCACAATCTCATTCGTCTTAATAATGGAACTTCTTTCTCTATTTTATGTGCTTTGTTTTTCAAAAGTGTCGAGTATCAATCACTTGACATGTTTCTCGGATTGCTTAAAATTTATCATTCTTCTCAAATTTGGTGGCCAAGCTTTGGAGATTTTACGGTCTCTTTTTCAATATTAAAGCGTTTTGTAGTGGCTTTGTTTATATCTCCTTTCAATATATTTTTTGTAATCTACCTAATAGTTAAACATATAGTTTAGTCAAGTTGGTTCTTTTATGCTGTAATGACTCATTTTTTAGTGAAACTTAACTCTATTTTTTTTTTTGATACAGTTGCACACACAGAAATTTTTTTTTTCAAAATTGTTATATGTGACAAAAAAATTGGATGTTAATGCAAGAGTCTCTAAATATGTGTATACATCTAATTTAAATTTAAAAATTTTATTTTAATATTATTTATTTTAGTTTTTCATTATTAATATAAATTATCTATAATTTATTTATCTTTAATAATTTTTTAAAAACAATAATAGAATTTGTAATCTTTTTAATTTTCAAAGTAGAAGTGGACCAATAAAAAATTTATACAGAATTTCTTTATTTAGCAATAATATTACAATTTGTAAACTTTCTTAATTTCCTTATTCAACAATAATATTAAAAATTGCAAATTTTCCTTATTTTTGAATGTTGATGTGAACCAATAGAATTGAAATTTTAAATCATATGTGGACGCTATTAAAAATTGTAAATTTTCCTTATTTTTGAATGTTGATGTGGACCAATAGAATTGAAATTTTAAATCCTATGTGGACGCCAGTTTAGTCAAGTTGGTTCTTTTATGCTGTAATGACTCATTTTTAGTGAAACTTAACTCTTTTTTTTTTTATACGGTTGCACACATAGAAGTTTTTTTTTTCAAAATTGTTATATGTGACAAAAAAAATTGGATGTTAATGCAAGAGTCTCTAAATATGTGTGTACATCTAATTTAAATTTAAAAATTTCTTATTTTAATATTATTTATTTTAGTTTTTCATTATTAATATAAATTGTATATAATTTATTTATCTTTAATAATTTTTTAAATAACAATAATAAAATTTGTAAACTTTTTAATTTTCAATGTTGAAGTGGACCAATAATATTACCATTTGTAAACTTTCTTAATTTCCTTATTCAACAATAATATTAAAAATTGTAAATTTTCCTTATTTTTGAATGTTGATGTGGAACAATAGAATTGAAATTTTAAATCCTATGTGGACACTATTAAAAATTGTAAATTTTTTTTAATTTTAAATGCTGATGTGGACCAATAGAATTAAACTTTTAAATCCTATGTGGACACTCTTAGAAGCATTTAGCTTCAACTTTTATTAGTATATATATATATATATATATAAGATTTATATTACGATTCATAGCATAATCATTTAAAAATGTGAAGTTTAATAAATATTTCAAATAATGAATTCACATTTTAAAACGTGACCAAAATGGCATGACCAAATCACATTGGCAAGAATATTTGTTTAGTTGCTTGGTAGATAGAGTTCTAAAATTATTTATGATTTTTGTCTTTTCTACTCTTTTTTTTCACTTCACTTTTCATTCTTCTTTTCTTTCAATATTCTAACAATTTTTTTTGTCAACTATCCAATTGATTAAATAAAGTTTTAGCCGATAAAATAGTGATTTTTTAGAACGATAAAATAGTGATTTTTTAGAACGATCCTTACTGACTCTATCTTACTTATATGGGAAATTATGAGAGCTCATCTAGCGATTTTCTTAATACAATAATTTAGAGACTAAGACAGTAGAATAAAAAATATTTTTTAAAAAAGAGACTAAGACAGTAGAAGTGTCTGGTTGTTTCGTTTTGTGTGGCCTCTAGGGTCAACAAGAGACAAATTGTCCCCTGTCCTCTCTTTTTATTGGATCCAAACTCTTTGTTCGTAAGCTACTCTTCAAGGAACAAACTTTTAAAATTTAACCATATATTAATTAAACTAGGATTTTGTTTCATATAATATTTTTATAAATATGTTTGTATTAATATATACATGTAGTTAATTATAAAAATATGGTAATTTGTTTAACTGTTTAGTATTAGATTTAAAAAAAAAACAAAATCTTTATCAAAAAAATTTCTTCTAGGTTTAGAAGTAGGGTAAATAGGAAAATTATTCTACCATTATAAAAATCATAAACATGATATGAGTAAAAAAAATATAGATAAAAGCCTTATTTTTTAGATTGCATTGCTTGAAATCAATCTTTACATTCTTTGCATTATTATGTACATCTTAACATTCTTTTATAGAACAATATTTGAAAAAAGTGTTCATGATAAAGATAAGCTAAAAGAAAAAATAGCAAGTTAGTATAAAAAACTATTAAAAGATCTTATATGAATACCAAAAGTTTAGAATATTATTTATTTATTTTTATTATGAATGTTAAAAATCTTAATTTTAATGTAACTTAATAGTTAAAAACATAAATACATATGAAAAAATATTAAAAATAAAAATTATATTACAATTAGTGGTATTAATTAATTTTGACTTTTTATTTTAAAATTTATGATTTAATAAATATGTGAAAGGACATATTTAAAAGTCAAGTCACCATGCATCTTTATTTTCAAAGTGAGATTTTTTAGTCACACATATTTCTTCACATTTTGAGTAATTTATATTTGTTTTGAAATAATTATTGGTTTCAATATCATATACTTTATATTGTGTATGATATCATTATAATTTTTTTAATTATTATTTCTAAATTATTTGTATACTTCATATTAAAATTAAATTTTGGCATGTCCATGATATGAAAAGTCATTTTACTGTATTTGAGTGAAGAACTGGAAAAACTCATTTTATCTATCAACTTTGTTTTTTTATAGTAAATGCAATTCCTCTTTGTATGATTTTTTTCTACCTATAGAGTTACTTAGACTCATTTGAATGTTTTTTTAACTTTTATTAAATTTTTTTTGACGTTAACTTATATTAAATCTTAAGTTTGGTGTTCAATATATGTATTTATGTATGATATGTCATGAAGAATTCTGAAACCAAGTCATACCCAATTTCATTCAAACCAATTCTGAAACACTGTTTGAAGGACTCGTATTTGAGCAAAGCCAAATGTCATTTCAACACAAACCTTCACATAAAGACAACGAAGTCAAACGTTACTCAAGCCAACTTCATTACAAAACAAACATCGAAAGTTTCAGATACAAAATGTTTATCATCATAGTCGTCTTCCCGAGAGGAGCTGACTTTCCGAGGAGTGGCAACCACAAGTGGAGCTTCCAGAGATTCTCCAACAGCCGGATTGTTTTGTTTTTTTGGTAATGAGAGAACTGCAAAAATCATGGAATGTCAGTCAGCGTACCTCCTTCACTTTGATATGGTATTTTTAAGCGTATAATACTGGTACTGACCGTGCTATAAGCTCATCTGAACTGTGCATATGTATAACAAATGGTTTATAAGAATATGTTCATTAAGCTCCAGTTCAATAAAAATGAGCAGAGAACAAACCGCAAAGATATGGGACTGCCAATGGTTTTAGTGAGTCAAGCCGTTCCTTGAACTCTGTGGCATTTGCATCCTGGTCGTCCATGTAAAGCTAAGCGTGCACCTAAAGCACCCAGACACTCCTCACTGTAATACGCTTACACTCATCATTGGAACTCAATGGTATATATAGATCAAAAGTAAAATAATACATGCCTCATCGAGCTTCTCAACAAACGCCTTTGGCTTTTGTTGGGTGGATATCTTTTCAAACTCAGGTGTCTCTAGCTGTACAATGACCAAAAGAAAACCAAAGCTTTGAGTTTTGAGAAGAATGCCAACTGAGACGATATATAGGTATAGGGAAAAAAAAGTCTATATAGCAACAACAAAACCATGAAGTAGCCGGGATAAGAGATTTATATAAAAGCACACACCTTCTCTTTTGTAGCATAAATATAAGATTCAAGATTGTTTTTATCTCAGCCATTCTTCTTTCCCTATCTTTCTTGTTCAAGGCTCTAATTTTTTCTTAGCTTCAGCAAGAGACTCTTTCGTAAAAGGTGCTACAGGTCCAACCTTTTTTCTAGACTACCTACAAGCCATATATTTCAACAGAATTGGTTAGTATTTATTGATAACAAATCGAGAAAATCTTGAAAACGATAAGCCAGAATACACACCTGACTGTCTGCTTATTCCGTTTTTTGTTTTTTTTTGTGCAGAGGTCAACCACAGCTGGCTCTTCTGTTGTTATATTCGAAGCAGTCCTGTTTCCAGCATGGGCTTGTAGCTCCTCTTGATTTTCTTGTGAATACTCGTCAAAGGCATTGCCTGTTGCTGTGGTTGTGTAACTATCACGTTGTTCTTCATAACACGACATTTCCCCCATGTAGACTGGGAATCGCAATTCCACTTAGTGAGAAATGCAAATAGCCTTGATAGGTGATGACAGATTCCAAGAAGAATATCTGTCCAGATCAAAATCAGATAGCGAGTCCTTGATCTCCTCCTGCCATTTCTCAACATGTTCCTTGTGTATCCTGATCATGTTTGAAATGATATATTCATGGGAATGTAATAACATCTCAATATATCGTACATACAAAAACAGTAAAGGATCTCTTTAAACTCACATGATCATGTGTTCTGAGAAATTAGTTATTGAGTTCCTTGAGCATTGTTTTCCCTGATTTACAGAAGAAGAAAACTTGATGAATAGCATAAACTTGATAGGCATATTGAATTCTTCCTGAACTTAAGAAAATGCCTTTACAAAGGGAAATTATCATCACAGCTTACAGTATGCGTGAAGCTATCAATCTTGTCGAGAATTGGAGCAATGTTAAGTTCCATCTCACCAGAAGCAGCAAGTTTTGTATCAGTTTCTTCATCCTATCAAAATGTCAGGCCAAAACTAAAGAAATGAATTCACTGCAGATCATCAAGATATTAATGAGAAAATTCATAACCAAAAGAAACGTACATATGGTTTATGCGTTCGGCGATCCTCAATTTCTACTTCCATTTTCAGTGATTATGATGAAGATTTTCAATGGGCAAAATATGAGGAAGTATTGTTGTAGTTTTCCGAGAGATGAACAACCCAATTTGCCACCAAGTCTCTGGCCGGCTTTAAAGTATGAGTCATCTCGTGCTTAACCCACCGCTACCGTGAGTCGTCAGTTTCTGTGAAGCCCCGCTGAAATTAAGTTTGTGGAAATAAAATCGAGAGAACCTAGATCAAAAATCGAAAAACCAGTTCAACCCAGAACTCAGGAAAACATGGAACCAAATACCTTATACTTTGCCGGAAATCAGAAAGTAGATATCAGCAAAAGAAGCATGATGATGGAGAGAGACTGACTTAGCGTAAAAATTGAGAGTTGGGGAGGATGAAGCAAGCCAGAGGACCGCAATAGCTAGGAGAAGTTGTGGAAGAAGAAACTAGGACAGGATTTTCGATGGGTTTAAGCTGAGATGAGAGGTAACGGCAGAAGGCGAGAAGTTTAGAGGGATAGGAGGAGACGAGATGTGAAAATTGTTTTGTTTTTTTTTTGGAAGACACGTGTAGCTTTCTCCAGTACTGACGTGTCAAGCAACTGGAGAAAGTTAATTGTCTTTTATATATTAGATTCAAATATTAAACAGAACAAGCATAAGCATATAACCGCTGTAACTTAAAAGCATAGATTCAGACACGATCCCAAATTCCCCCAATACGTTAAGAGTTTTAGCGCAGAGAATTATTTTGGGTTTAAAAAAAAAAGAACTAAAAAGCTAAGTTGTTTATAAACACTATAATTAGAAACTGTGTCTTAGTTTCTCCCAATTGTTTTCAAGATGTTTAAACCTTTGTAACTTTTTATGTCGTCCTTACTATCCATTTCAGTAGGCCGATATCTAATATTGATCTACTCATACCCAAATTTGTGACGGTGCCTATATTTTATAGAACTGTGAAGCTGGTCTTATATATTATCAACAAAAAGGATTCCAAATTAGAGATCTATCCTTTTCCGGCGTATAAAATACCACGATCTTGTATAAGAACATAACATGTCCTTATTGATATATATTCATCACTTAAGATGCATTTTCATTTTTTATTATAAAATAAGATATTAAAGATAAGATTGATATACAAAAATTGAATTGCGCAAACGACTATGTTGTTTGAAATAACAAGATCGAATAATTAATTATGTTTGATTGGTGGTACAACGTGAGAAGAGCTTTTTAGTGGAGAGAGAAAGCGGTAAACAATATCTGGAATTTGGAAATAATTAAAAGATATCAGAGGTATTGGTATCGTTATATGTGTAGTATGTACACCATTATCTTGTTCTCTATGCATGAGAATTACTTTCATCTGCATTTCTAATATAATCTCTACATCTTAACCCCTCATAGCATGACTCGTACGTGGCATGCAATCGAAACTCTCTCCATGCGAAAATCATAAATAACATTCGTCGAAAATCCATTTGTAATTTCATTTTGTCATTAGTAATCACTAAACTGGTATATCCATTACCGCAATTTTAAGGAATTGCCGATCAAACTCATTATGTTTTTAAGGACAAGCATTAATCTAACAAAACTAAAATGAAAGGCACCAAGTTAATAAATTCAGAGTGCTCGCCTTTTTTTATCAATTCAACATAAAGAAAGATAATAAACAACATACACCAAAATAACATTTTTACAGTAAAAATTCTATAAATTAATATTTGATAAATTAATAAATTTCTCTGATCCCAAAGTTATGTTTTGGTTCAATTAATCTCTTTATAAATTAACAACTCTCTGAATTAATTAAATATAAAAATCTTAATATTATTAATTTATAGAGTTTTTACGTTATTAGAAATATACACTAACATATTTAGAAATATACACCAAGATAGAAACAACATATACACCAACGTATATACACTAATACCAACATCAATTTGAAACCACACAAACACCAATCTATAATTAAAGTCGATCCATCATAACTTTTTTCTGCAGAATATGTATAACAGCACCATTTGGCACTAACACAGACTTAAATAGATTATCATCGTGATCATCATATGTTATATATGTGTGTGTGCGCTTATAAGATAGCTAAATTAGAATTACACAAAAACATGCATGCATGCGATTTAATTATTTTTTGTTTTTACATAAATCTACCCACTTTTTTTTGGTGGGGGGGGGGGGAGAGGAGGTGTGGGGTTTAAAATACCTACTTGTTTTATTACCATTATTCCGTCACATCCATTTTTATTTATATAGATTTTAATAAACAAAGAAGTCAAAATATATGATATTGTATTATATGGTGGGAGATTAGTGGCCAATAAGTTCTCATCTGACTTCTCATTCATTTCTCAAATTTTTAATATAGTTCAAACTTTTTTGTGTCATTTTTTGTTAAAAAAACTAGAGATTTCCTTTTTTAAGTCATTTGTGCTTTGATTAAATTAACAATGCATTGCTAATATAATGATCACAAATTAAATAATACAATTAAAGCAAGCACATTCCTAGTGGTTCAGCCACACCAGTTACGATGGGTTAAGGTGAAGACGAATGTGGATAATATTGTATAAATATATAGTAATATCATATATATACGTATTATATAATTTCAGTGTTCGTGAACATTAAAATAGTATCCATATGGGATATTTTAATCGGATCTGTAAAACTTTGACTATAAGTCTATAACTGTAATATATATATATATATATACTAGTTAGAAAAATAAAATATGTGTAATTAGGACTGTTCTTGAGTATTTAGTGACTTTAAGCCTCTAGCCGAGAAAAATGTGTGGCCCATAAATTGATAAACTTAAAAGAAAGAATGTATGAGAAGATGTGTGAATTTTCTATCTTTGTTTTTATAAATAAAGTTGAACATTGATCTGGGACCCTTCAATCCCACTCTTGGTCCATTCCAAGTCCTTTCAATCGATAACTTGTGGTTCGTTCCATCAACAACGCAACATAACTTTCACTGTGAGTTTTGTCTATGGAAAGGATCCGCTTATTTCTGATTTGGGATAACACAGAAGAAGAGGTAGATTCTTGATGAAGTAAAGTCTTTGCCGTTAGGATTCAAACCCTAGGCAATACATCTCTATCTTCGTAACTTGTTGTATCTGAGAACTTTCATCCTCTTGCGCTGAGCTTGATTTCTGTTGGATAGCTCAAGTTTGTAATTGATCCGACTCCATACCTAGGTTAGAAAATTATTGTGTACTTTTAGTTTATGCTTTGTGATCTCAAACAAACAAATCCGTGAGAGAAATTGTTGAGGTATCAGAGTTATATTCTGTGATCATTGTTGGTTAGAGATATTGGTTCATAATCGTTTCACTAAAAAGACATGTAAATTTCCGATCGAGTTATTTTTTCTGTATTTCCAGTGAATTTCCAACAAACTGCTTTTTTTTAAATCGGAGTATGAACTTCAAAAAACATAATTAGTCAGAATTTTGTCAAAAAAAAATCTGATAAAGGAGTTTATCAGTAAATCGTATGAAAGGAGAAAATCACGAGTAGATTAGAGTTAATTCTATATACATTAGTAGCTAGAATTATGATTCTTTATATATATAAAAAAAGAAGAAGCTAGTAGTATGATTCCAAATCATAATTATATATCCAAATCATATTTCGGGTTCTTCTGACTCGGAGTCTCGGACATTCAATGGTCGGTGACTTTTAAACCAAAGTTAATGAAAAATTTAATAAGCATACTAGTTATTAAAAACCCATGCAAGATTAAGTAGTATGACTAATATTATTATATGGTTTCAACAATCCTTACAGGGCCGACCATAAAAGGAAGGCCACAAATGTGATTTTTATACTCGATGCATTGTCTGTCTCACTCACGAATAAATGCATTATCATAATCACGAATAAATACATTATCATAAACGAGTAAACATATTTGGTTTTTATTAAAAGGTAAACAAACTTGTAGTATACTAGTTTTGATTAATGTCGCTACCGTGTGTTCTTCATTTTATTTTATTTTTGTAATCGAGGTCTAAACGCATAAAAATGTGTTTTGGCTCCTAACATATAAAATACTTTATTAAGAAGCCAGTTTTGTTAACATGCAAATTCATTCCTTTTTTTGACAGCTCCTTCATTAAAAAAAAATTATACCTGTATATTAATATAGGTCTAAGTCAGAGACTTAATCAATTAAAGAATGGAAGATAAAGAAAGGGAAAAAGAGAATTGAGCATGAAGAAGCATAATGATGATAATGGAATCATAACAAAACGGTCATAAAGCATGAGTCTTTTCTCTATAAATTTCGACACTTCTCTTCATCATTACCAAACTCATCCTTCACTTACCACATTTCCTCTTTGGTCTTCATAATTATCAAATTAATTATCATAACTGAAATAGCAAAAAAAAATGTCTTCGATTGGAGCAAACTACGCACAACTCCAAGTCATGCAGAAGAAGCAGAAGGAGAAGATGATGATGAAGAAGAGGTTGGAGAAGGAGAGAGATGGCGGCTTATACGGTGGAGAAGGCCACGGAGTTTCTTCCGCTGCCACTGGAAAGAGTGGTAACAGAATATTTCCGGTCAAGGCTTCTCCATCGTCGACTTATGAAGTAGTAGAACGACAAGAGTGAAGTGTGAGCTTTGTCTTCTGTTTTAAGTTAGACTTTTGTGTGTCTATGTGTGTGATGCGATGTTATATAAGTGGTCGTCTTCTGTATCTAGGCTTGAAGTTACGTCATTTGTGTTGCTTTGTTGAATGCTATTGCTGGCAAATTGTATTAAAAACGTTGTAATTTTCTTAGATTTCGATGATGTAATATATTTCTCTATTGTGAATTCAGTTTGGGACGTTTTAGCACATTATTTTACCAAATTGTGAGCTTGCTTAAAACACAAATGGTCTATTAGTCCAAGTGTTCTAAAGTTTCTTAGGTGCCGCCTAAGAACTAGGCTTAACTGCATAAGGGATTCGAGGCGATTTTGCTTATATATAGGCCTACTAGCGGTAGACAAAAGATTGAGATTTAGCGAATTTGGCGGCCCTTCATCGATATTGAGATTCGACTCGCAATATGTTCTAAAAAAATTGGTCGTTTAACAAAATCCTAATAACAAAGGAGGGAAAATTAATCGTGCACATGAGTAACTTAAGTTTTTGAATTTGTCTAAATTTTTTTTTTGGCTGGTTTAGTAGTGTTTCTTGTCTGTTATAGCTGTTTTTTAGACTTCTGACTTGATTTTGTAAATACATATAAACTACTACTTTTGTATTCTCCTTTAAAATGAAACTATTATCTCTTATAAATATACACAAGAGTACAACACAACAATTCTCTCCTCTTTTTTTTTTTAAATCATTCACAACACATTACTTAATTTTTTTCCACTGATTTTCAAGTTTCCTTTTTTTTTTATTTAGTGGTATAACAACTAGCCGTTGAAAGCTCACTTCCATAGAAGACAGAATTCCTAAGATTTTTAAGAATGCATAACAATGCTGAAAGAGAACAAACATGATTCACTGTAAATTTTTTAAAGCTCTATAGAAACACGAGAATCTAATTATAACATTGTAAAAAAAACTCTGGCCCAACACTTTTTTGCTACATATAGAAGAAGTGAGTCGCGGCCCAAAAGATATGGCCGAACATTTAAGTAGCTCGAGATGTTATTTTCTATGCAAAGTTATTTTCGAAACACTTATCAATTTAACTGTTAGAACTTAGAAGTGCCATCTTGAAATTGTTTTGTTAGCAAAAACAAAATCATTGTAAGAAACAGCTACCATTCTTCAAATACGTTTGGGCATGCCTGTGAGATCTTCAAGATTTATGCTTCCTGGGTAGTCTTTAGAGTTCAAGAAAGTGAGGCATTGTCGCATTGAATTGTGTTATTAGAATGACTAAATAAGATTATTTTAATCAGTCTTTGTTTATGCTTAACCTTGATCATGATTGTTGTGAAAAATGTGGCATGAAGAAAAATTGGCATTTGCACAAAAAAGAAGAAGAAGAATAATAATAATTGGCGATGACTAAAGAGCACATGTGCATCATATGGTTAATCATAATTGTGCATATCATATGCTTTCATGGGCATAGTTGTCGATAGAAACAAAACATGCGTCGAGGAGAAAACTAATTAAAACTTCGGATCTTTGATTCCCATTAGGCATGAGGCCATGTGCTCTTTTGCTTTCCCACGTTATTTATTTTACCATCTTCTTAATTTGTTTCCCTGACTTCTCTCACTTTCGGACAAAATAAATTGCTGTCATTTTTTGGACAAGATAGAAAATATCATGTCAATGAAATAATTTAGATTTGAAGGAAGCCATAAAGTGTTCAAACTTTATCCATGGGAAGATAAATCGAGATGAATATGATTGTGGTGTTGACAATTTTTTTTAAAAAATTTCCTCATTCGATTTGGTGGTGTATCTTAAACATCCCCATCGCAATGGACTATATTAATCGAGTTTGGTAGCAAATCAACATATAGGACCATTAACAACATACTGCAAATCTTACTTATTAATTTATCGATTTAAGCGAATACATTATTTCTATGATTTGCTATAAAAAATATTTTTCACATGATCTTATACGAAATAGTAGAAAACAAATTCTATAAAACACTAGAATTGTAAAACACGTTTTCTAGAATACATTTATAAATAAATTTTAAATATATGTATTTCCTAAAACAATATTAGAATAATATTCTTTTTTTTTGGAATTTTCTGAATTTAAATGTATATATAAATATTTGGTTCGTAAAAAAAATTAAAAAAGTTATTTTTATATAAAATTGTCAAAACTTAAAAAAATATTAAAGAAACAAATACTTCTATTTTTTGTCCTATATTTTTAATTTTCTCTTTTTTTTTCTACTGCAAATACTCCCGTAGATACTTTCTTTAGAAGAGAGCCATTCAGACACCAAATTATTGTTTACATGGAAAAACAAAAGTTCTCGTATTCTTGTTGCTTTAGTAAAAATAATTTTTTATAACATGCTCTTGTATACTGATTCATCATTGATCTAATCATTTTTACTAATTTCTCGTCGTGTCATGATTTAGATAAACATTCAATAATGTGCGTAGAATTAAAATTTAAATAAGTACTACACCATGTCTGCTACTTGACAAGTTTTTTTTTTTTTTTCAAAAAGGGTTACTACTTGACAAATTGACATATCCTAATATACTCCTTTTTTGTAAAAAAATATACTCCTTTTATTGACATAATAGTGATGATTTACTTCGATAATCTAAATTTACAGAGTATAGTTAAGTAAATTAAATTTATAAAAGGTAGAAAATTACCTGAACTGAATTTACTAGTCACTAGAACAAAGTGAACCAAAGGTTTTCTATATTTTGCTAACGATCCAGAATTTTGTTTACGTCAGCAAAAAGTTTCTAATTAATTCACTGAAGTAAGTTTTCTAATTTACACTCGCGGTTAACGAGTCGTTTAGTTCTCTGGACTGAGTAGCTTAGCTGAGCCGAACCGAGCCGAGTTGAGCCGATGATTTATTCCACTCTTTGTCGGTGGACAAGCCGGCTCCGATCTGAGAGCACAGTCTCAACAGCCCACACACAGCTCACTCTCTCTCTCCTCCGCTTTATACTTTTTTAGTCAAAGAGAAACCTCTCTCTCTATCTCTGTACCTCTCTATCTCCTCTTCTTCGCTTCTCTTCTACGAAACAGACAAATGCAGAGCTGATTGTGCTTGCTCCTCCTTCATCTCGCATTTTCCTTTTAGGTTAGTTCGATTTCTCCATCTGTGGATCTATCTGCATGCTTTGGTATCGGATATCTTGTGTTTGATTTCAGTGAGAGATCCGAGTCTTCTTTCCGATTATAGATTAGATTTTCCATCCCGATCTGAGTCTTCAAATTCCTGTTGATTAAACTTTCCTGATTTAGCTTAGTTCGAATCTGGAAAGTAAAGGGTTTCACTATAACGACTTTGGATCGAGATTTTTTTACACTTGCTGCACAGTTTAATCTCAGTTAGATAGAGTCATCCATTGATCGGTTGTAATTGCATTTGGCTTTTCGTACTTCTGGCGATTCAGATTTTAGGATCCTTATGCTTTATTTTCATCTGATCTCTGCTTGCATGATGATTGATTCTTTTTTTTTTTTTTTTCTGCAGGGGCGTTGATGCTCTGACGATCTTGTGTGTAGATCTGGGTAGGGGCAAGGTCTCTCGGTCTACGTTTGATTTGAGAATCTTGAAGTGAAACAAAAAATATGACAAGTGCACTTGGATGGAGATTTTCTTCTCCTAATGGAAATGGCCTTGCCCCAAACGAAATGGTAACTAGTTGTTGTATTATTTACTTTAGTTTTCTCTAAATTGGTTTTTGAGTGGGTTAATATGATGACCAATCATTACAAGATCTTATCGTAAAGCTCGGTTTTTTATGTGAGTTGAAAGATCACAGTGTGATCTTTCTGAGTTTCGGAATCGTTTATGATTTTCTTCTACAAAGCAATTTCCTTTTCATGTATTCCTTGAGTTTCAATCAGATTTAGAAATGTACTTGAGCTTGAGCTGAGCCCATTGTTAATTAATTCAGTGGTTCCTTTTCCTTTAAATGTTATCTTCTGTCATCTTATGTTTTGTTTTCTCATTTGTTTGATAATCTCTTCCCTGCTTCCTTCTTGTTTCTTTTTTTTTTTTTTTTTTTTTTCTATTTACTTCTACGTTTGCGTCCTGCAATAAAAACTCGAAATTTCCCTTATTTACAAGCGAAGCCTAAACCAATGGACAATAATACACATGCGACATAAACAATTGGCGTTGTTTCAGTCTGTTATATCTGATAGAGTGTCATGATCTAGATGGTAGTCTTTCACAGAACGCTTTCCATTGCATTTGAGCAAACGTCTTACAAGTTATACTCTTTTAACTTATTTTCTGTTGTCTGGTCATGTTTACAGGAGAGAAATGGGGATATGAAGATTCCAGATTCGGAGCCCCCAACTCCACATTCAAGCACAAAGATGAGTTTGAGGTAACGTAAATTTGTATTAAGTATTGCATGACTTCAATCAGTGTTTAAAAAAAAGTTAGGTCTTATCAGTATTTGTTGCACCGCAATCTTGGTTTCTTCGTGAGTTTGAAAATCAATATATCTGGATTAGTTTCTTACGATATCCTTTCAAATGAAACCATTGAAGTAAAAAGGCACACGTATTAGCGACTAGTATCTAACATTTCCCCATCACCTGCAGAGAGCGTACAACCAGCATGGAAGATCCGGATGGGACATTAGCAAGTGTTGCCCAATGTATTGAGCAGTTGCGCCAAGGTTCATCATCTGCACAAGAAAGAGAATACTGCCTGAAGCAGTTACTGGACCTTATAGAAATGCGTGAAAATGCATTCAGTGCTGTCGGTTCACACTCCCAAGCTGTGCCAGTACTTGTCTCTCTGCTCCGATCAGGATCACTTGGAGTGAAGATACAAGCTGCAACCGTCTTGGGATCACTCTGCAAGGAGAATGAACTTAGAGTTAAGGTGTTACTTGGGGGATGCATTCCCCCATTGCTTGGTCTTCTCAAGTCTAGTTCAGTTGAAGGGCAGATAGCAGCAGCAAAGACAATCTATGCTGTTTCTGAAGGTGGGGTGAAAGATCATGTTGGTTCAAAAATATTTTCCACTGAGGGAGTTGTACCGGTTCTATGGGACCAATTGCGCAGTGGAAATAAGAAAGGGGAGGTTGATGGTTTGTTAACTGGTGCACTTAAGAACCTTTCTAGCACCACAGAAGGATTCTGGTCTGAGACAATTCGAGCTGGTGGAGTGGATGTACTTGTGAAG